CTTGTAAGAGGAAGGAGAGATTCCTCTCTTCAAGATTCTCTCTCACTCCCCTTTCAATCTCTCGTGGATTTTATTCACGCACGCGCAATAAAATCTTTATTTTCGCATCTTCAACTGCGCTCCTTGAGGAGAGGAGAGATTATTTTAAGCGCTCAGAGAGGACATTTATCGTCGAATAAAACATCGCGTTCGTGCGAAGGAACGGGGCTCAGTGACGAAGGAACGTGGCGTATGTATTGGGTTGGCAACTAAGTGATTGCGGATTTTAAATAAGAATGAAAATTCAAAATTTTAAATTTGCTTTTTTAAATTTTTTTCAATGCATGTATGCGATACATTGAGCTTCTCTGCAATATCACGTGTTGTGCTACGACGATCTGAATCGATAATGGCCTTGATAATGGGTCTCATCGACTTCAACTGGACGGCCAGATCGTTGAGCATTTTTCAATGAAAAATCACCAAAACGAAATCTAGCAAACCAATTTTGACACTGCCTTTCTTTCAAGGCTTCATTCCCATATACGGCACATAACTTCTTGTGTGCTTGCGACGCGTTCTTGCCTTTTCCGAAATAATACAATAAAATAAGTCTGAAGTGCACGTCTTGCTCTTCCATTTTTAAATTGGGATAAAAACAAAACTAAAGGACTAATCGATATAATTTTTGTACTAAATGAAAGGTAGAAGTCCAAACAATAAGAAAAAAATGTAGGTTAGGTACTTTGAACACGTTAACGAAACAAAAGAAAGTGTAAAATCCATCTGTCGACAAAATCCGCAATCACTTAGTTGCCAACCCAATACGTACATTGCGGCTGCATATATCGATACGTACGTTACATTACGCCATGGGAACATCGCTCCCAGAACCCACGGGGCCACGGATGTCCCCACGGATGGGTTCCATGACCTCCTGACAGTGGTGTGTTAGACAGTGGTGAATTAGTTAAATGCGAGCGAGAGTGGAGAGCACTGAGCACGGCAATGAATTACCGCGCTCCACGACGCGCGTCAACACTGCAGACGAATGCATTTTCGACAGGATCGTTTGGCCAATTACCGGACCTTCCGTTCCGCTTAATCCGTAACGGAAAGAGTAACGGGAGGAGTCTCGCGATCCCCAATTATCGCGCTCTTCCTTCTGTCCGCTCCGCTTCCAGACTTGGAAAGATGCTTGTCAGAAGTAAACTCGTTGCTCTGTCATCGTCGCCGAAAAGTAACTTGCAACGGTAACGCTGGATAATGGATAACAAGCGACGCGTTATTCCTCAATCCTGTTTTCGATGTATTAGGTGTTTACAACTTAATTCTCGGTCCCAAAATTCAACGAATGACAGCTTCTGTTCAAATTGTAATTTATTCCCGCCCTATGGTGGTCTGAAAGTACTAAGCCTCAGCTTTAGAATGCGGTATAACAGACGGCAGCCCTGCCTGCTGATATAACCTCAAGAAACAGTAGTGAATGCAATGTCGTTCGAAAAGCAGCATCTGAGGCACTGCCTCCTTTTCGCTTTCCAACTTAAATAAATGCGGCTGAAGCGCAGGAAATGGTTTGTTCGAACCTCCTGGGCGAAGGTGCTGTCTCCTGCAGCACTTGCAAGAAGTGGTTTCAGAGGTTTCGAGAAGGAAATCTCGATCTTGAGGACGAACAACGATCGGGTCAGCCAAGAAAGGTTGTTGCTGAAGACGAAGCGTTGGAGCAACTTTTAGAGGGAAACTCTTGCCAAACCGCCAAAAACGGTCAATGCTGAACGCTACAAGCAACAACTAATCAAAGTGAATGACGCACTCGAGCAAAGAAGACTCCATTTACTGTGGTAGTGGAACGAGGCAGGTACCACTGCTGCATGATAACACGCACGGCCACACACAGCAAAAGCGACCTTGAAAATCATCTCCAACTTAGGCTGGGAAATCCTTCCTCACGCGGCGTATTCGCCAGACCACCTCACCCCAGATCAGATCATCACCTGTTCCGCTGATCGCTACAGCATCACCACCTAGCTGATGATCGCACTTCCGAACGCACTTCTGAAAAAGTCAGAATAAGCATCGATGACTTCATTCAGTCCAAACCACCATCGTTTTTCCGAAGCGGAATTCGAAAGTTGCCTGAAAGATGGCAGAGATCGGTAGAAAGTGAGGGAGATTACTTTTTAGGGGATTAGATAAAAATTCTCCTTTTTTAAACTGAGCATCGAAGCGGAGCAAAAAAGGCCGAGAGTTGTACACCTAATATTATCTTGCTGAGCGATCGATCGACGGATTTACACGGAGATTCCCCCACGTGTTTCGCACACGTTATTCACACACATGTGCGAAAAAACAAAAGAGAAAGAAATATAAATAGCAAGAAAGTGTCTCGACGATAATTCTCGTGAAATGTTCGTGGATTTATCCGTTCAAAGAATTGGGTCTAGGATGCCGATGCGAGAATAGATCCCGATCAGCGAGCCGTCCAGACGGAGATGCGAATAAAGAGATAAGTCTAATTAACGTCGGCTTCGATGCTATTATCCGGTGCGCCGCGAAGCCGACGATACTTTAATGAGTCACACAGAGTTCTTGATTAGCAAATCGTTTAGTTAACTCGTCGATGTTAGCTCGTCTGAATTCGAGCGATGGATGGAGGCAAGCCGTGTGCAGATTTGCCTGTCGAGCTTTGGCCGCGACGCGGCGATACGGTTCGATCTTTGATTTCTTTTCCCTCTCGTTCTCTCAATATCGCGATAACGCGCAATAATTTCACGCGCAATAACAACATATTTTTCATCGAAATAATGAGTTGCTCATCTCGCGTATCAGCCCTTCGCTGCGCACGAAGAGACGCGTTATCGCGTAAGAAGAAGCGAGAAGAAGAGATACAGCGCGTCTTGTTCCTCTCTATACTTGATAACGCGGCGACAAACAAAGCGCGTCGATAACTTTTGAACCACCTTTTTACGTCTGTTCTGGCTCGGGCTGAAGAATACACGCGAATCGGCGGGAGTCGCGTCGTGTTTTGCTCTGAACCAAATAATAATGGCAGAATGGTTTAAATATGATTCATAGGTAAGTGGTGTATCAATCTCCGAACGGTTGTAAGTTGACTTGAGTTGGATAAAAAAGATTTAGTCACAGAGATCACTTTTCGGCACAATTAGCATAGATTCGGACAATTAGATTCAAAGTTCAGATAAATTACACGCGTTGCAAGGAGCACGTGAAATAAGCGGAAAAATTTATATGAGAGAAATTCTGTTGCGTAACGCAATATGAGCGATGACGAAGGATACGAGCGGAATCCGCAAAGAGGGCGACGATTCAGAGATTGTAGACGCACGTTGACTATCGATTATCACGTGTAATGCTTCTAAGAGACACCGGTCTGCTGTTTTTCCTCAAGATTGTGACTCTGAAGTCACTTGCGTAAGTTCTCCTTTTGGAATAAAAGTCAATGGTGATAATTGCGAGCGACCTTCGTCGCGAGGGGCTCTAATTGCATCGCACGTGACGAGCGGGTTATGGTTTTGAACGTCGTCGTCGTCGTTGAGGGGAAAACCCTTATGATTATTCCACGAATTAATATAAATACGAACGTAACGACGTGGTTAATATGCCACACGGACGATGCGTCCGTTATGCAAGAGATCGCGGGAGGACAAGTGTCACGTGGATCTTAAAATTTATCGTCACGACAACATCGGCAGAGGCAGGCCGCGACGTTGCGATTTCTATTCGTATGTTGAAGGCGACACACACACACGCGCGCGCGACAACACGAGGTAATCCAGTCCATCATTCGGCGGGATGGAATACCAATTTTGCCGATGAACTTTCCGAAGAAATCTCAAGTCTGTAGGTTGGAGTGCGCGAGCACGCCGCACAACACGTTTCAAATAATAATTTCATCAAGAAATTATTGAAAGGAACAAACTGTTTGAAGCCGGATGTCGCGAAAGAAAAGAAAATTAAAGATTCTTGCGCTCACCTCTTCGATAATGAGATTTGCGATTTTTAATACATATTGTGCGACTTTTGCAGGGAGAAATTAATGACAAACATCATATATGTAAGTAATATATACATCTGTTACAACACTTGTTCTCTCACTCTACCTCTATCTCTCGGTTGGGACTGATAACGCGAAAACGCGAGTCAGACGCTGCGTCTGCACAACTGTCTCTTGATAACCCTGTTTGTCATTTCCGACGTAAGAGCAAGAAAATATGACCAGAGAGAGAGAGAGAGAGTGCTTTGGTCAACCACCTCAAAGTCAATTGTTCGAGTTCTGGGGTGAGTAAACGTACGTAAGAGTATCTTGTTGTACGCATAGTAGAAAAAAAACAGCGTAAAACATATTATCGTACACGATTAAATGCAACCCATCTCCTAAAGAATATGAATATGTGTCACATAATCATATCACTTACAAAAATAATAGATTTGCGTGAACGTTCTTGGATATATATATATATATATATATATATATATATATATAGGTATATGCATGTATATGCATATCAACTCGGTTGATTATCAGCGACAAATGAAATACAAGAAAAAAAGAGAAAGAAAGGAAAAACTATATGCACCATATATGCACCTTTCTTCGCGATTTGTTCGCGATAATCAGCAAAGTTTTGTTATTAGCGACACCCACCCGCGTGCACAAAAACAATAACGACTGTAATCGAGAACGAGTGGGCAAGTCCAAGGTCTTCGTCGTCATCGACTAGTAATCAAACCGCAGTGTTATGTCATTCGTTATGGACATCGTATCTATCAAATCATCGAATTGCACACGCAAACTGACTCGTGAGCGTACACATTGTTCGTGCGTGCACATGCGACCGGGATAAAAGCGTCATCGGCACTTATGAATTCGGCATCGACATTCTTTTGTTTCCCACATAACTCTATTATCTTTCTAAATTCCCTTTTACGTAATAATTGGAAGAGCACTGGAAAGAGAGAAACGACAGAAGAAGAAAAAAAATGTTTCAAGTGCGAATAAATCTTCACGATATCATTTTTATTATCCCCCAAGTTTGATTGGGTAAAAATAGATTTTCGACGACTAGTTTTTCGTATTACAATTGATATGAATCGTTACGTCGGGAACAGACGTAACTACTAATCTTGCTCGGTTGTTGCTACACACAAAACACTGTCTAAAAAGTTCCAAACACCGCGAGCTGTTTTACCACTGAGGTAAAAACAATTGACGACGAGTAGCGAAGGGGGAGAGAAAGAAAGATTATTGTAATTCGAGCGACACATAAACAAATCGCCAACTCATGTTTGAGAAGTAGAAGGTACTTTAATATACTTGTAATCTATATTTGACCGTTTGTGGTTTCTCTATCTAAAGATACTCAAACAGACTTAGGGACGAGTTTCATCGGCTGCACTCCCATGAGCTTGGCGAACTCTTCCGAGGCTTTCAGCTGATTCGGATGATACGTGATACCGCCTTCCTTGTCGACTTTCTTCATGTGTTGCCTCTCAGGATCTCCGGCGACCAGGACTGGTACCGCGCCGGCCGCGGGCAAGTCTCTCAGTTGCTCGAGCAAGGTCGACAGTCTCTCCTTGGATCCCTCCGCGAATGCTGCCGGGTTGATCGCCATGAAACACTGTCCGAGATCGGCGACGCGGTCGGCGGTCTTCCAGTTTCGTATATTCGGTCCAAACTGACTTCCGGTAAGCACCCCGCAGAGTATCTCGACCATCAGGCCGAGACCGTAACCCTTGTAGCCGGACGTCCGCTCGGTACCGCCAAGAGGCATCATCGCTGCACCGTCGTAAGCTTCTTGGGCGTTCCGCGTCACTTCCCCCTGAGAATCGAGCGCCCAGCCCTCGGGGATGTCTTCGTCCTTTCGGATAGCCAGCTCGATCTTACCTAGCGCGACCGCAGTCGTCGCCATGTCGAGAACGAACTCGTCCCCTTCACACGCGCCGGCCATACCCAAAGACAATGGATTCGTCCCTAAAGCGGCCTTCGTGCTGCGCGTCGGCGCCATCAGCGGGCTCGTATTGGTGCAGCTGAAGCCGATCAGACCCTGCTCCATCGCCATCATGGTGTAATAGCCGCAAATGCCGTAGTGGTTGGAGCCACGAGCTGCCACCATGCCGATGCCGAATTTCTTCGCCTTTTCGATCGCCATTTCCATGCAATACTTGCCGATCACCTGGCCCAGCGCGTTTTCACCGTCCACGAGAGCTGTTGCCTGCAAGTGACGTGACGTGGCGTAGACGAGCTTGCGGGTCCGGCAAGCGAAGCTTACCAACACGCAACACGGTGGAACTTGACGTTGCGAAATTCGATTTCGCTTTTCGGATTGAATTCGAATTTCTCTCTGAGTCGTCGAGAGAGGTGCCGCGAAGAAATTTCACGCGAGTTTCCTCAAAGCCCGAATAATTAATTCCGTCTTTCATCTATTCTTTCTTACCTTGTTTCTCCGTGCGATTTCATTACTATATTTTGACCCTTCAAAGGTGTGAAAACAAATTTGAATGAAAAGTTAATTTCTTTCAATTAGGTTTTCGAGTCGAATTCATACAGCAGGACTGAAATGCGATTATTACATCGGGCATGGTGTAAACGGCACGTTTGATGTACGAATGAATAGTACTGTAATCGCAGTAGCATATCGCACACGTGAACGTGTGTTTCCTGCGCTCACGATTGCTGCAATGCTGCTACGTCCGTTAAAGACACCGCTGATCTGTCTGAGTGTAATCGGAATCGCGTTAATTAATGCTCGAGCTTTGTCGTCGATTGTCAGATCGCCAGCAGATTCGTGTCTAGCCAATAGATTTGCTGCGCGCACGCACACTTTCTACATAATAATATAATTCCTGCAATCCTCGCGAAGAAGGGAGTGTACTTTGAGAAATAATTGATGCTGTTCTGGATTGCATGTGCATCAGCATCAGTTTGAGCAATTAGAGATTAACGCGTGAACGGTGACAGCTCTTTAAAGCGAAGCACGCGAAGAAGCGCGATATAAACGATATGACGTTCAACTCGACGCCCGAAATATCGTCGCGATGATTTCGCGACGCGCAAACTTCAACGAATACGAGTGTAAGAGAGACAAATAAACCTCGCTGAGACAAATCGCAAGTCCCAAGTTCCACCGTGAAGACACCGACTTCAATCAAGCCTTAACATCCGAAGCTTCATCGAAGTCGATCGTAGCCGTCCGAGGAGCGCGTCAAATTTCAAACCTGAAAATCGCTGACGACCCGCGGTCGAGCGACGGGATCAGTGAGCCTGCTCTCGATCTCGTTCACGTACATTTGCATCCTGTTCATCCCGTGGCTGAAGTGGCCTCTGTAATCCGCCGTCATCAGGTGATGAGCGACCACGTGAGCGTCCTCCGCTCTCGTGCCCGCCTTGCGCATACAGTCTTCGATGAACCTGACGACCTCGTCCTTGGGCACGACCTGCCCGTCGTAACTTGCGACGGCCGCCATTGATCTGACAGTAGCGGTGCTGATGCGGTGCAACGACGTGCTTCTCACGAAAAGTTCGTAGAAGCGACTGATGAGTGTCTTGCGCACGACGAACAACATGTCTTAAACTCTACTTGTACGAAGCAGCCAATCGACTCACGTTGTGATACCTGCGTTATCGTCTCCCCTATCTTATCGTTTCATAGCAACAAGCAATAGCTCACTATACAGAAATGAGCAGAGCATCGAGAACGAGCCGAGTTCTTGCTCGGCTTAATCGCCGCAATCTATCGCGTGACTTCGCGGGTTATCGCTTTTGTTTATTATTCGTGCACACGGCCGAATGAAACGAAGGTCAAACTTCACGATCACTTTTGTTTTTTGAGTTCCACCTTCCAAGAGTCTTGAATTCTTCAACTGTTGTCGATTGACGCCGGCGTAGAATGTTAATTGCGTACGTTGGTTAGTTGGTAGGGAAAAATTACGTAGCTTCTTCTTGTCGCGTTTTACAGAAAGAAAGGAGAAGTCCTTTCCTTCGCCTATTTTCTTTTCCCTCTATCCGGAGCTTCCGGAGAGTTCCTTCGAACTTTCGTTTCGTTTGAACTTAGCGCCGTCCGACCGTGTCGGTGCGGTCGTGACTGAGCACGTAGCTGGCGTTACTAGAGCTGATCTGGAGATGTTGCGATTATACGTACACGTAGCGGTGGCAGGCTCGCAATCGCAGCAGCGAGTTCGAGTGCGAGTCGAGCGACGATCACCGCTCGCAGAGCGATTTGTTCACCTTGGCGCGCACAATTTTAACCTCGCGGAACAGAGAGAGAGAGAGAGACGGAAAAAGCGCGCGCGTTTTTCGCGCTCTGAGAAATGCACGCTCGATTTCGCAGAGGCAACGTTCGACGATGATGACGACAACGACGTGTACTCCGATGTGCTGCAACCGCTCGGTTGACATTGATGTCGTTTTGTAACTGAGAAGGCCGAGATTGTCTCTGATTGAACGAGCCTCTCGGCGGGAGCTTCAAACCGCATCGCCGTTATCACTGCTGAATTCCAAGTTATCGGCAAGGATATTTCCGATGTTAATATCAAATGTAACAGATTGTAAGCCGCCGAATTCTCGAGCCGCTGCTGTTTCGTCGCTCGATTTGAATATTTGCGCGTCGGTCTCTTCGCGTCTGTTGTATGCAAATGTGCCGGATGTTTCAGACCACTCCGGTTCGCCCGATTTTTTCGTTAACGCGACATTTCGGAGAAAAATATTTCAGACAAAAGTTGCAGGGCTTCAGAGGATCTATTTACTGACGCTATGAATTTGACCTTGGGCTAACCTTGAAAAGTCCACTCAAGATCAGCATAAAAATCTTTAATGGATGATACCCCAATTTTTTATTACATCATCTTTTTCTAGCAATTAATTTGAGCAACTTTCATCTGAAACATTTTTTCGTTTATCTAATATTTTTTGAGATATTTAAGGAAAACTTGATGACTTTTTCAATATTTAACTCACGATGTCTCGCTAACTACGCGCTTGTCAGAAGAAAAATGTGGTACTAGACCTTTTTGCTCCGTTTAGTCTCAAGAATATATTTTTACAATAGCCTAACTCTGACTTTTGTTAACTTGCTGATGTTTTGAAAAATTTCAAAATCATCAAATTAACCAACGCTATTCAAAACGCTATTAGGTAAATAAAAAAAAACTGTTGTTTCAGACAACAGTTATTCAAATTAATTGCCAGAAAAAGATGATGTAATAAAAAATTGGGGTATCATCCATTTAAGATTTTTATGTTGATCTTGAGTGGACTTTTCAAAGTTATCCCAAGGTCAAATTCATAGCGTCAGTAAATAGATCCTTTGAAGCCCTACAGCTTTCGTCTGAAATATTTCTCTCTAAAATGCCTCTCTAAAAATTCGACGAAAAAATACCGGGTAATCCGGGTGGTCTGAAACACCCGGATATATACGCGCACCCGAAACTATTTCAAATAAATCATTTGCGGTATTAAATACACGTGACAGATACACGTGGATTCGGACGGAGCGAATGAATTGAGGAGAGAAGAGCGACACCACAAGCTCTGAGTTATATAAGAAGACGAGCGCGTATCATCCACCAGATACACACATTACTCTCGATACGATCCACCCACATCGATCGCCGATCGCGCATGCGATCACGCATCACTCACGAACCGTGAAGCTCATTATGCAATCGCGCTGATATCTGGCAGAAGAAGTAAATAAGATAGCCGGTTGGAACGAGCTTCCAGATCGATCGTTGCGGACCGATTATGTCGTTTCTTCGAGCAAAGTGAAAGCTCCGGCATCCGAAGTTTGCAAAATCCGACGAGTCATAACTGCGCGGCTTTTTCATGCCGCGTCTGATCATAATTGCGGGCAAGAGAAAAAGAATGGCGTGCCGTACAAATCTTTCAACTTTTTTTCAGTCGGATCCATCTGTCGGGATACGGATCTCGGCGGTTAGTCGGCGCGCGATTACGTCTCGCTCAGGCACAAAATATTTGTGCGAGATAAAAAGGACGACTCCTCAGACGATTCCGACGAATGATAAGGCGACGCGGCGACAAACGCGCGCGATTTCCCGCGTCGACGATTCTCTTGATTTGATTTCGAGCGGAGCTTTCTCCACACAATTCGATTCGATTTTCCACTCTTATCGCGAGCCATGAGGCGATACCCCTTCAGGCCTCGTGACATTTTTATAAATTATCGACGGTTCGTACGAACGTGCGTGCAAGGTCGCAGCGTGCTATCGTAGCGCCTAATCGCCGCGATAATAATTGCCTTATTATGAAGCTCAAATTCAAGAGTTATTTCGTTTGCGAGAATGAAACGTCACGCGAGAGCATTAGCGTGCGTTTATCGGAGTTATACTTGGTACGACGGACAAACTTATCGTTGGGTAACGTTAATAAACTGTGGTGGAGTGGAGGATGAAGTGTGTACGAGCTTACGGCGCGGCGCTGTGATTTTAATCGAAGATCTAATCGATGAGACGATTAGATCGTTTAAAGTGTATTAATTGATAGTGCGAGTTCCGATTAGTACACATCGATTATTACATAATTGCGCGTGTGCACCCGTACAGTATAATAATTCTAATTATCCCCCCCTTTCCCTCTCTCTCTCTCTCTCTCTCTGTATTACAGTTATAATTTCTTTAATTAGAGAAGTAGTGTTTATATATATAAAGTTTCGACTCGGTGATTCTCGTACTTGCCGCTGAGAGAATACTCGATCGAAACGGTGGACTGTGTATGGTCGACCTCATGTCAAAATGAAATTGAGACGATGATTCATACGCCATAATGCACATTTGCGATAAAGTCACAAACATTCAATTTGACAAACATAATTGTACGACGTCAGACTGATGTGCGTACGGCGTACGTCACCATAAAGTGAAAAACTTCGCGATAAACAGTAGTATCACGTGAAAGGCACCGATGGCCGCCTCGAAGGAAATGAGATTATCCTATGAATTCAACCAGATATCGTCGGAGTCCGATTACATCGGACGAAGAAATTTACGAATAGAAAATTGCAAATAACCAAGCGGAATGGCAGAGGTAGCGTAATGAAAACGGCAGTCCTCGTTTGCAATTCGTCGCGAATATGAATTCATCGTTCGTTAGACACTCGTTAGATCGCGATTATAATTACAATTATCGCAACGCTACCAAAAGTAATGCGAGCGTGTCACGTGAGTCCCTGCGATAACAAATATTCCTTAACCAGTGGTACATATCCAAAAGATGTAGAAAATTATGACATGCTTCAATTGCCGAGAACAATAACGTTTAATTATTAACACACATTACGAGGCTCATCGCGAGACTCACGTGAGCCATAAATCATAGATGCCGAATTTTAATCGATCATGACGCAACTTATAATTGCTCAAGTGGCAATCACGTGCATGATTTCGCGATATGTACGACGGTATGAGCGCAATATGAGTGTAAAACCGCAAACAGACGGAAAGACGGCTATCATTATTAGCTGCTTTTTCGCCACCTGCTGGAAAAAGAAAATGGAAAGAAAACGAGGAAAGGAAAACTTGTCCCTTGAAATCCGTGAACGTCGGGTTTCTCTTTTTCTCTCGTTTTCCACGGGAGAATACGATTTTCCAATTTCGTTTCTCGTAATTAGTTCGCGGATCTCACGTACAAAAGAGGTTTTTCTTTTAAAGATAATACTTGTGACGTGTAATGAATACAAAAACGAAAAAAACTGCCGAATGACCTCGTGACTTATAAAACGTTTTCTCGTTCTCTTGTGAAAAAATTGCTCTCTTACAATGGTACTTGTAATGAAAAAATATTACTCCTTGCACGGAACAAGCGCGTGCTCGCAATTTCGCGGAGAGCGGCGAATTGCATTAGCGAATAATTGCGTATTCTTACGTGATTTGCACAGTAATTTCACAATTAGACTCGTTTGACAGAAGTACCCGGAGATATGTAGCAAACGAGCAACTTCAATCCACTCACGATCTTACAACTACTTTAAATAATATCATAATCCTGCGTAATTTATGTATGCAATATCTATCTATAGAATCGTTTCCTCATCGCGCTTTCTTTGCTTATGACATCTTTAGGTTCAGCTTCTTTCAGCTTACGACGGTTCAAACTGCTTTATTATTATCGGGATACGAAGAAGGAGATGACGAGAGAAGAGAGAACGCGGACACCCGCGCCCGCGAAGCATCGCGATCGCAATCGAGAGAGGAGGAAGCAGGTACGAAGAATTCGCGTATGTGAAAAATTTCGCACGTGACGCACATCGGCGCGTAGCGCACCGGCGATGACGTCGCTTACAATTACGCGATTGCGTTACAGGGTGCTTCGATGTCTAGCGATTGACTCTCGTGCTTCGAGTCAAGGCCATGACGCATTGTTCTCTCGTTCTCGACGCGGAAAAGCTGAAAATCCCGGGCGAACTTGGCAGGCGTGCCGATTTCTGTGTATTAAGCGCGCGCGCGCGCACGCGCGCGTCGAATAATCTCGCGGAGATCTTCTAGCAGCGACTCGTTGCAAAATCGCGAGAGCACGAAGCGAAGAGAGCAGATGGAAATAGAGAGCCGTTGCCGATTTAGATTATACCGTATCGTAAAAATCGATCGAAATTATCGCTCGTGCTCGATTGCGTCCGATCTTGCGGACATCGTTGACGACCGTTGAAACATTGAGTCTACGCGTATGAATAAGAGTATAATCGCAACTCATGCAACTATTGCAATTGCAAAATTAAAAGACATACTCCTTAAATATGATATAATTGACGGTGCAGATCATGTTGATGCGCAAGCGGAAGAATCAAATGAGGTGGTGCCTCATTGCGTTCGATACGAGAAAGCAATGAACTTCTCCGCAACCACAACGCGACTGGCTTCGTTATGCGCGCGCGTGCGTCGACAGAATGTTTTATTTCAATATAAACGAGTACGTACACGGCGGCGTTTCTACTGAGTCGTGCAAATAGTCACTTCCGCTGCACGACGTGCGAGCCTGCGCATCAATCGCATCGCAGGAAAGCGCGCGAGGATGCACGCGAGAAAGTCAAGCACATGCCGCTGATATATACAGGCTCGTCTAAAATTCATCTCACCGGCATCTCGACGAGCTAGCGAACTAGGACGAATTAACCCGTAACTGCTGTTCTCCGGTCAATTTGACCATTGCACTATTTGAAATGTAAATAACGCGGTTAATTTTCTAGTTGCGTATGCATCCGTCAGTGTACTTTCTTACATTCTGATTGTCAGTCGACTGATATACGCGCGATTGTGTGGTCGTGTTATTTGTCAAGATATTCATCAATTCCGTTTCCTATCGGTCAATTTGACCGGTGAACAGCAGTTACGGGTTTTAAGTGTTCTATGTGAATAAATGTCAGATGGGTCACTTGAAAGATATATATTAAACTGGAACATGAATAAGAAATGTGGTGATAAAAGACATTGAAACGAGGACCCGTATCCGTTGTTCGAAGGTAAAGTCGATATAAAATCGAGACTAAAGCATAAATAAAATATTCACCATTCTAGATAGTGAATATGGTGGCGACACGGTGGCGTGAGATTTTGCTGTAAATTATACGGCCGTTGCGATCGCGTTGCGGCGCGTAGGAAATTTCGCAACACGGTGGTTTTGAATCGCCCGCGATAGGATAATCCGCACCGCGAGCTGACTATTTGCGGCCAGCAGCCAAGAATAAACAAGAATATAAATTTTCAACCCTTACCGCGCGGCGGTAATTTTGGCAAGATTCGTGTTTCCCCTCTTTCTTCCTTCCCTCTCTCTGTTCGCGCCTTCGTTTATACGTTGGAGAAATATACGAGTAACAACGTCATATGTCATTCGAGACCGATCGAAAACAATGAAGAAAAACGCCAAGAGAATTGTTTCGATTTACCTCGACGCAAGGTAGCTCGAAATCGATCCGCCAACGACTCAGATATGACAGACACGTCATATGTGTTTTAATATCAATTAGAATAATTACTTGTATAATTCTCAACTTTGCACATAATAATGGAAAGTAGAAAAAGATCGGTAAATAATGTTTAAAAGTCTACATTTGAGAGAAGATTTGCCACAAGATAAGATTACTGAATGAATTATTCTTTAGTAATAATAGATGAAAATATGTTCCAGAATGTATATATATAAATTATACGTACCGTAAATATACATAAAATTTAGTAAGTAAATAAGTAATGTGATATAAGTGATAAATGTTAGAATATTAATAAGTAAATAAGTATTCAAGAATATATGTATTTGCACCGCGACAAAAAAAGTCAAATATCTCCTCAACTGGACTTTTTATCAGGTGATTACTTTTATCTTCTCTTTTTTCTTTTCTTTCTTTCTCTTTCGAATGCTGACATCGTGCGAAATGCGAACTTTGTTGCTGTGGCCGGTAGATAATAACAAGTTACAAGCGTCCAAAGATCAACGAAATACCGAATAAATCTCATTTTCCACGTGGTTATCGAGCGACGCGGATCGTTCTTATTAGGACGTTAACGTGCACAATTGATAATATTAAACAGCATCACAGCGCAAAAACTTGAGCACCTTGCACGTAACGTATTTCGAGAAAAACCACAACATCGCAATGTTACGATGATGTGATTTTTCTTTTCAATAGCGAGTCGCAGATGAAAAGTCGTTTGCGAAATAAAATCTTGAGCGCGAGTATCAATCCGCAGGAACTTGTGCTTTAAAAAGGAGCGCTAGTACACTCACCAAAGTGTTCTGGTACCCCAGTCCGTACTCCTCCTTCCGCGACTCCATCCTCATTTCCTTTCCTTCGGGACGAAGAAGAACAACTCGAACAAAGTCCGCTGCAGGCGATGATGTGCGTGAAGAAAGAAGTCGATCGACGGAGAGCAGGAATCACGCGAGGACGAATCCAGAAGCTGGATCAACGTATCGATCACGATTGACCGTTAAAAACGTCTCCTTCCAGTCTCCTTCTTCTTCATTTTCTTCTTCTACCTCCTCGTTCCCACCCCTCGCGGCGGGCGTCTCATCGGTGGAATTCTTAATCGCGAATGTGCACGACGTCTAGCGTCGTCGTCGTCGTCGCCGTCGTCGTCGTCGTCGTCGACGTTGTCGTTGGCGGCGCTCTTGAAGACTCTCTCGAAAATTTCAGAACTTTATAAGGCGCAATGCGGGGCGCAAAGCGACGCGATGCGGCGCGCGACGATTATTCGCGAAGTCGCGCGAACGCGCGACATTCAAGTGGAGCCGATTACGCAATGCGCGATAATCGCACAGGAAGGGTCAACGCGCGGCGAGGAATCTCGCGTGTCGAAAAAAATGTCTGCCGAATGAACAAATACCGATTAGTACACGGATTGCGCACGGAAGTGACTGCAGAGGCGTCATCACACTTGCGTTTCTCGCTAGCTAGTGGAGCCACCGATCGTTCACAATTCAGAAGTTACTTCGTATTTTATCGGTCCGACGAAAGGGCCACACGCGAGAGATCTCAGCATTCATGCCGCTCGTGATTACGTTACGAAATGAGGAGGTACAGTCGTCTACAGCCGTCTCCGAATATCAGCAGCGTACACATCGCGTATGCGACACATTCGCGCTCTTTCTCTTCAAGCGGCGCTAATGGCGCCGGCTCCGTAGAAAAAGCGCCATCGAAATCACGTGATTATGCTCGTTCGGTAGCTTTCGTAGCGGTGAATTTATGTTAAGCGAGTCCGTAGCGTGAAAACGTTCGCGTGCACGAGCAAAGCACCTGTGAGAGAAAGAGAGAGAGAGAAAGAGAGAGAGAAAGAGGGGGGGGGGGAGATAAAAGGCTGAAAATATCGTTCACTCACTGTGCAAACACCGACCGCCGCTCGCAATGAACTCGTGTCCGCCCGGCCGTGCAATAACAAAAAGCACCGGCAGCCATAGAGGGTGGCGACGCGAGAAGGGTGGCCACACCTCGACAGAGGCCGGCGATCGCGATCGCTTTTGCGTCACACGCGCGGTGGACTTTCGAGCTAGTAAATATTGACGCCTGAAACGAACGTTTCTCGGACGCGAAATATGCTCGTCACGATAGGCGCGCGATTAACGTTCGACTGAAAGCAGCTCTCACGAAAGCACCGCTCGAGCGCTCGATCGAACGAGTGACGATCGATCACGAAGATAACGAACTTCATGCGCCTCTGAGAAACGCGCGCGCGCGCGTTCGCGAGAAGAAGACTAGGAAGGAAGATAGATATTGAAGATGGTGGAAGAGTCAAGTTTTCAAGTTTGCACTCTTCCCGTATTCTTCCCGCAAATGTATGTCTCGACGAAACGAAGATTTGCAAAAATCGCGGTCTCTTACTCGACCAAATTCCCAAAATGCCTGAAATCCTCGATTGACTCTTCAGGTGCTTCCAAGCCTTCGTCCGAGCCTTCCCGCGTTATTCGCGCGTGGGCAAATCACGGTAACAACGGTACGTTGCCGTGCACATTGCTTGTTTCGCGTAACGCGAGATTTTTCAGTCAAAATATTCGCTATTCCGTTGCTCCGCGTGGCGGCGTGGAAGCAACGCGTCGAGATCCGTGACGACCGCGACGAGCGCGCGCGCTTCGCGAGCGCCACTGACTGCCCGGTTGGACGGTCGTGAGCCGACTGATAGGTGTATGAATGAAGCGGCCGAGATTTCAGAGCCGCGATGTTTGCAGGAAATTCAAAATCCTGTCGTGTCGGCGGCGGCGGCGACAGCGGCGGCGATGGCGGCAGTCGCCTGTCCGCGGCTTCTCGTAATCGATTTCTCAGACTCTCGTGGCGCGCGACGTGCAATTTTCTCGACGAGGTTTCGCGTTACTCGACGAGAGAACAATTTCATAGTAACACGGCTTACTCCGTTCCATGTACGCAATGTCCTGTGATTCTCCTGCGCAGTTTTGCAAACAACACGCGAATTTTGTTCTCGAGATCGTGTCGAAAGGATTTCACACCAGCACGACATGTCGCATGTCGTATGCGCGGATGAAATTCAACATATTTACAATTTTATCTTCGTGCGAGCTTTACCGCGTTCACAACAGCGTAAATTATATTGCTATCGACTTTGCGTAATGTTCCTTGCGAGTTGACAGGACGATTAATATTGACGAGCGATCTCATCGAGCGCCACGATAAGAGTTGCCGATGCTGACTACTGGTCCGGGGGAAACTGCACGGAGGAAATTGGCACTCTCGGCGTCAACGCGTCTGCGATTCGGCGAAAGGCAGCTCACCATCATAGACGCAATAATCTCCAACGCATTCGTTTAATGAGTCAGACATCGTGGGCGACGACCTCTTCTTTTTCCCTATAGCATAATCCCGCTCGCACGCAATGAAATGAACTTCTATGAAAATTATGACACGCGACTGAGCACGATCGACCTTCACCACCACCACAGGTTACGGGCCATCGAAACTTCAGCGAGCGACGATTCATGGGAGAGCGGGCCGAGGATTTGATTAATTAATTTATCACCAAAGAGACACTGATCTCTCTCCCTCCCCTCCTCTTTCTCTCTCTTGTATTCCACCTAACGGCTCCCAATGGCTCACGATTCTTCGTGCATCGCTAATCGAAACAGCGATAAAGCAGCAAACAATCGCATTAATATCCGATATCGACCCGTTGATTAAGCTTCGCTCTTCTTTGTCACAGAGATATCGAAATTAAAAATAAAAGATACGCACGAAAATAATGAGCGCCCTGATAATCGAAACGGCTACGCCGCAAAAAATAATTTCCCTCACGTTTCGATTACCTGCATTAGCATGAGAGTGTCGCATGACTTTATATTACGCCATAAAAAATAATAATCTCTCTTGCGTATTATCCTGAGACGCTGCTTCGCTTACGGCCCGTCCGTAAAAGACATTTTCCTCGTCGATCTATACATGTTGCTTATCGCGCGCCTGCATCATATGACATTTTTTTACGGTGCAATTAACAGCGTTCTGTTGCGTCGTCGTTGATTAAACAAACTTCTGCGAGAACGCGCCATGAGCTTCCGCATCTAACGATCCAACGAAACATGTTGAACGGTAGTTTATCGACGAGTAAAATATCCGGACGACTTTCGTCGCGAGCACAAAATTTTACTGTACCCAGATAAATCGGCTGTTAGCTCGTGTAATCACATCCACACAAGAATATTGGAACATAAAAATTTATCAGCAACTTACGTTCGAAAACGAGCGGTCGTGGTATACGCCCATAGATACTCAGACACGCGGATGTAATAAAAATACTTGTTTCATGGATTAGTATAGTGCTCGCTTTTACACAACACTAAGATAGGAGGTTATACTTTGTGTTGAAGGATTGTCGTGCATATACGACAGACTGGATGAAGGTTGGAGGATCAGCGGAGTATCATTTGTTAACTGAAAGGATCGAAAAGAGTATATAAACATCATATATTATGTATCATCAATAAATTTATAATAAGCATCGTGTAACAAGATTAAACATCATGAGAACACGTCCGCTGTACAATTTTTTTTACGATAGAAGGCCACCTGTATTAATACTGGTCATTAGTCTAATAATTGTGCGCTTTGATAATAATTAAGTCTCAAAAATATATATGTGGCATGATCTTTGCTCCCAATTTATATGGACGATATACATATATGTGTATGTGTATAATATATATATATATATATTAAAAATGAAATAATCCACAATCACGTTTGTTCCAGTTTTACAACCTGTAGTTTCTTCATCATATGTAACATACTCTAAGAGAGATATTGTTAATCGGAACACTTTGTCTCCCACCTTTGGTACAACGCTATCATTTCGGAGCATTTGTAGAGTTGTCAGAAGAATCTGACGAACTTGGTAGAACTAAAACTATGGAAAATGTTGAAGAAAAGACAGGTAACAATGTTACAGTCAAGAACAATAGATAATAAGTTAGGTTGTAACATATACTTACAAATGATGATAATCAAAATGATGACGCATATGATGCCGATGATAATCATCATTTTGAGATTCTTCCACCAGTACTTTCGCTTCAATTTGCCAGCATGTTGTTCAAATTGCGTCGCACCTTGTTGCAAAGCATCCGCCCGGTTCTCAAGCTCGGAAAGCTTCTGATCTCGTTCCAGTACCTTTTCAACATTAACTTTCATTATACCCACAACTTCATCTACTGTAGCTTGTGTTTGTTGCAGCTTTCTGCTAGCTCCTGCTTGTTGCGTATTGCGTGGCCCACCAGTTTCTCCTTCTCCTGATATACCACCGCCCTCCATAATTCTGAAACAGGGAATAGCAAGAGTTTTGTTGTTAACCTGCTCTGTATAATCATAGCTGCTTCAGCTTAATTCTCCGTATGATCATTGCGTGCCACAAGGCAAATCAAATAAAGTGCACGAAATGTGTAATATTGTGCAACGATTCTTGGCAGAACCGCGGCAGAACAAGGAAATGACGGATACACCCATAACCCATAACCTTAAAAATCACACATATGTTTCCAAAATTTCATTCACACGTCAGGCCGATCGACAAATATCTATTTTATTCTCCCATTAGTAAATATAGAGATCTCGAATATGTATAAATAAAGCTACAAAAGTATACGATCCTCAGAGAATGATAAAATGATCGTTTAGTCATCGATGTGTCATATCGAATGATGTTGTTACAGTAATTCTATGATCATACGTACGCTAGTCTTATTCACTTACGTGCAACAAGTAGAAATAAGTCAACGATAACGAACAAATATCTGCGGACACAATGACAATTTAACGCAAAGACGACTATACTTATGTACAATGACAACAGTGAATGACGCAAATGAATATGGCGATCATGGTGATAAAGATGACATCATGAATATTATAAAAACGTGTTTCCGCAAGAAAAGCAATCGAAATGATTTCTGATCAAGCAAGTCGTTTGCTCCTAACGAATACTAACAAGTTCGCAATACGATTAATTAATTATTAAATAATATAAATCGTTTTTGCGATAAATGACAGCTTAGTACGTTAGATGCCCTGCTGTGCCATCTAAACTCACCAATGAGAATTAATTTACCGGTAAAGACGGTAACCCTGCTCTCTACTCTGCACTAATTAAATTTATTTGCAAATGCAATTATTTCTCATGACATAGAACGGCAAAAAATATAATCTCAACACATTACATTACATTACTTACAATGCAATTAATAAAAGAAATTAATTTAATAAAATGCAAAATATATATAACTACCAAGAAAATATATTTTTTGTAATTATGTTTCAAGTGTTATAGCGCAATATTCCGTTAATTACACAATCCAACATAACGTTCTCATATCCAAAAAATAGAGAAAAAGAAAAGAAACAAAGGAGAGCAAATTGTTGTTGATAATTGAACAAAGCAACAACAAATGTTGCTCACCACAATTCCACTCGATAGTTGAGAATAATCGCGAGAGTGACATTATGGACGTCCATTTTCATCAGCCACCAAGGGAAGGAAGCAAAAGAGAATCTTGGAAACGCGATGACGCGATTCCGCGTTATAACAACGAAAGTATCAACGAAAGTATATTCTCGTAGACAAAATGCGATCACTTACCGCCACTAGCTGCCATAATCGAGCGTACGAGCAGCGTCGCAGAAACATCCTCGACACGCACCGTTCACCTCACCGTTCACCGTGCGACCTCACGACGAAAATCGCGACGAGGGCATAAATAAAACATCTTGCTCGGGTGCTCGTGCGCGTATCAGCACCGCGTTGCCAGGACCGTATACGAGAATCGTTTCGATCTGTCGAGAGTGCAGACTAAAGTCTGGAGGGGGGGATGCGACGCGTTTCTGCGCACATTTCACCCCGATACAGTAGTATCAACAAACTCTTAAACGTTTAATTCTCAAACTCTTACACTACAATCATTCGTAACAAGTCGACCCACAATAAAGAGAATACCTCGCACATCGAGATGAGCGGCTGACACAGTGATATGTGAATATGTGACATCTCGATGGCAGTCGCCAATTCGAATGACTCGGCACGTCCGAATAGCCTAGGCACGCGTCCAAGAATCAAAGCGCGCGAGACACTCCCCCTTCGTACGCTTCGTCGCCAGCTAAATATACGACGCACCGTAATGTTCGAAATCGTTCGAAATCTGGAATGAAAATTGTTAACACACACACGCGCGCGATGCGTGTGTGACCGCAGCGCGTACATTTACCTTGTCGTGGAAATGAGTCGCTCCCTGAGCGACGATGAATTGTACGAGCACATTTGCCGCGGGCGCGTTCATCTCGCTTGCTTGTACAGAAGGCGAATAATAAAGCGAGACGGGGAACGATAGAGCCGCGTTCCGGCGGCCAATACAAAAGTTTGAGGTTATTCTAGCAAGTGCTTATCGCGAAGCAACTATTCGGTCTATTCGGCGACACACGAAGGAACAACACAAGCAGACGCGCGCGCGCGCGCGCAGGCGGATACGTTCCTGAAGGTCGTCCTGAAGGGTGTGTTCGCGCGCATGGGGGTTGCGAGGTGGCTTCTCGCCGCGTTTATTGATCGGCCGGGCATGCGCAGTCGGTGGGGTTGGCGCGCGCGTCCGTCGACCCTGCCGCTTCGAGAGGTCGATTCGCGGCGACCGCGTTTAGCGAATAACGAAAAAGCGTCTCGCGCGCTTTCGAAAGCGCGCGTTCGCCGTGATGATCGCCGTGACACGGTCGTTCGTCCGATCCCGCGCGCGCGCGCGCGCGAAATGTCGGCCGATCGCGCGACGTGGACGTTGAGCGGTGTGCAGCGAGTCGCTCGTGCGAATACAATGGCCGGCGCGACGCGATCGTTTCGAGAAGGAAAATCAAAGTTCGAGGGCGGCGGTCGAGATATATCGTCGACACCACAGGCTCGCGTGCGCGCGCGCGCGCGCTCGCGCGCTCGCGTCGGCGATATCGCGCGCTGTGGCGTGCCGCTGGAAATTTTATCAATACCGTGGCCATCTAGTCTCGCTGGCAGTCGCTCGTGAAAAGTACGCGCCGAACGCCCGACCGGTTGGTTACACGCCGCCGACTGAATCGACGAAATCGACGAGGATAGCCGGAACAGGAAGAGTCCGAGCTTAGCGATCCATAGCGAGCATGTGAGTACACGCACGTGATAAATAACTGGCGTTCGTCAGTCTCGCGATTGACGCGAGACGCCGCCGCCGGATAACCAGACGGAAGGAAAAATTCTCGAGGGTCCGCCGGGACATACGCTAGCGAACCGTTTCCGCGTATACGCGTCGGTCGTCATGTTCAGTTCTTCGACGTGTCCCCTTTGCCTCTTGTGGAACGAGCAGATGTGCAAGACGTTCGTTCCGACGACGACGACGACGGCGACGACGACGACGACGACGACGACGAGTCGTGGTTGGAGATAATCGTGATGCACTGCCAAATGAGAGGCAGGCGGTCGAAATGACGCGTACACCAGCTTGGAAGCTTCTCTAATACAGCGGAGAGTGTGATAATTGTCGCGATCGCCCGTCCCGTCCTCGGCGTTTGTTCGTTCGTTCAGGCAGCACAATGAAGTCGCAGACGACACGGAGACACCAGGTAACGTCAGCAGACGTACGTCTCCGGTTTCCGCTTCACGCGTCGACACTAATGGCGATTGTTTCGTTAGAGCTGCATCGAGAGTGAATTCGTGGCGAAACGCTACATTGGCGAGCTAGTCGATTTGGTACTTGCGAGCGGTCGCGCGTCCTTCAATGCTCATACTTTTTCCTCGTTCTTCTTTTTTTCTTCTTCCTTTTCCTTTTCAGGAAACTCTCCTCGCGCTTCGATACGGCGCGGGCGTATTGAACGTGCCGCGTTAACATAATGAACGGTTACGGCAGATCGAAGACTATAGCTCATGCCGGAGTGTGTGTGTGTGTGTGTGTGTGTGTATATATCTCCTCCTTTAGTTTTCTCTCTTTTAGCGGCCGCGATTTATGTGGCGCGAGGAGTTTCGCGAGAGCAAAGGCGATCGATGGATTTTGCGGATGTGAATGCGCAAAACCGCTCGCGACGCGATAGGAATCGCAACGCGGCGTTGTAAGATGCGTTTTAAGACGCAATTGCCGCGAGGGGCCCTTGTCGCCAATCGATCCTCTCTCGCACCACCCGCGGCCGTCCGCGGCACACGGCAGAATTTCCGATAGAATGCAACGGGGCTTAAAGCCACCAGCTACACAGCCACGACACGATTTCGCGTTGAGAGAAACTGATCGAGAGACGACAGCTAGCTCTTCCTTCGACTTTTCTCAGAGAGAGAGAGAGAGAGAGAGAGAGAGAGAGAGAGAGAGAGAGAGAGAGAGAGAAAGAGAGAAAGAGAGAGAGAGAGAGAGAGAGAGAGAGAGAGAGAGAGAGAAAGCGCAAATACGTACAACATTGCATCGATATCGCCTGACCTTTTATTCATATTTGTTACGACCTTTTGTTCATATTTATTCATATTCATATTATATGTGTTACGAAAACTACGATAGTAATTGAAGATGTAAAATTAAAGTTCTTACTTGGCTTATCTCTTAGTTCGTTTATCGCATCGATGTTATTGCAATGTGAAGTAAGAGAGAAAAGCACAGAACACATCGCGATGCAGGATCTGCCTGATTAATCTGACTTTCTGTACAGGTCAACGTGATTTTTTACCTGCCTGCCGCGTATACATATGCATATGTGTGTGTGTGTGTGTGTGTTTTCGCGTTTGTTCGCTCATTATCTCGATCATGTGCATCGCATCCGTCGATCCAATCACTCAAATAATGCATAATTTGCATCGCACATAGTGATTATCCCTTTGAGTGTCTCTCGCCATCTCCCCACGGTTTCGATAAAGAGAATTCGAGAGCCGTTCGTCGTTGCAGCAGCCATACTTGACCGACTAGTCTCCGGACCTCGACCTTTTCGGAGGACATGCGATCGTCGCGCGAAATGTCTCGCATTAATCAGGAGAACCCGAAGGACGGGTATCGAGCGCGGTAGCGATTTCCTTGCGCGCAGCCATTCGCTGCTCGGCCACGGGCTTTGCGAGCGCAGAAATGAGCGCAGCGCCGGTGCGCTCTACCGCGCACATTTCGCGCGCGCGCGCGCGCGAGTCCGAAGCGAGAGCCTAATTGCGGACGCGTATATACGGGAGAATCAATCGCGAAACGCGGCGCGCCGCTACATGTCAGCTCGCAGTTTCTATATTTAGATAATCAATGATGAGCACATTTACGGCAATGTTCTACGGCTTTGCTAGGCCAACGGAAAGGTTCGCGTCGCGTATACACGTCGTGTCGTGTCGTATCGGCCGCCGATCTGCCGCTGGCGAACGATGAACCATCGTCGTCCGATCATCGATCGAGAACGATGAACGACACACGCCGCGGACGCTCGTAATTCGGTTATCTTCGCTCTTTTGCTCGGTTATACGTACGTTATATTTTTTTACATTTACTCGTCGTCTGTGATAATTCGATTGTATGTGTGTGTGTGTGTGAGTCGCATCCTCACTGACCCGATCAAAATAATATCTATATACGTAACGGATATCGGAGATATATATATTTGCTTCGCGATTTTCAACGATTTTTTTTTCAATAATTCGTGGCAGCTTCGCTTTTATCGCCAGGAAAATTAAGCGTGAGAAGCAGCAACGGAAAAAAAAGAAAAAGCCGCTGCTGCTGAAACAGCAGCTCGGCGGTGCAGGTGTGTTGCGTCATCGTCGTTTCGAATAGCGTCTAATGCGTCTTTCTTAATTCGATCAGTACACGAGGAGGAAACGAATCTCGTGAACGCGCGGTTCCCGCGGTTCACGTTGATGCAAATCCCGCGAGAATTCATCGTTCGGTGTGCCAGCCATACTAATCCAATAACGGGGACGAAGAGAAGCAGCAGCGCCCGCGATCGATGTATTAATCTTTTTATGCAACTCATTTTGCGTCATGCGAAGCTTGCACTTCGTCTGTCGAGTATTTCTTTCTCTCCCTCTCGGTTTTCGCTCGGAACGATTGGAATCGATCGCTCGAGTATCTCGAGATATCGAGAGCATCTGCATTATTATTATTATTATTATCAACATTATCCATCAAGAGATTCATCACCTCTGCAAATCTGAAAAATATCTCCGACTCGCGCGAGAATAGCGACTCGGTGCGAATCTTCGGATCCGCGCTCGTCGTTTCACCGACGTTTCACCATCGAGACAAACACGAAAATCACGCTGGGAAATGGCCCTCGCACGCGTCTATGTACATCGCGACGGCCGAATTCACGAATCGTCGCCGAAATGTCGCTGCGAATGCCGCACGGCCGAATGTTCCGAGCAAGTCGCGCATGACATTTCAATGGTAACGATACGACGGCCGGCACGTATACGACTTTATGTTTAACTATTCCGCTGGCGGTGTTAGTCGATCGATCGGCTGTCGTCGCTCGACCGTTCGATCGTCTGCCAAAAATAAAACCCGCAAGCCGCCGCCACCGCCGCGACCACTATTTAACTTGTCGCGCGCCCCGTAGCCGGGCTTCTTCGTAAAATATGAATAAATCGCGATATTCATTAACAACAACCCACTGCACGTGCTTCGCCCGCGTATTTTGGCGATTTACGTGTGGCGTGTCACGTGCGCGCCCGCGGCTACACGGCGTAAACGCGCCCATGTATGATCGCGCTGCGAATTCACTTCTCTCGCGAAACGAACCCGTTTCATCCCTCCGCCGAGAGCGATCGTGCCATTTGTTCTTCCTATCGATCACGCGCACGCCGAGCAATACGGAGAGAGATTCTGCATTCTCCGCTGATCTTCGACACAGTGAATTTTCGAAAGGGCGATTTCGAGGAGAGCGTTAATGTCATCCACGACGTTACAGGAAAGGAAAGCGAAGAACACCTTAATTACACCGGCACGTAAGTTGGCGGTTAATTAAATTGACATTGCTCGCAGCGCTTCCGGGAAAAGGTCTCGTGCTCTGTCTCTGTGTCTCTCTCTCTCTCTCTCTCTCTCTCTCTCTCTCTCTCTCTCTCTCTCTCTCTCTCTCTCTCTCTCTCTCTCTCTCTCTCTCTCTCTCTCTCTCTCTCTATCTCTCTCTGCGAAAGCCGAAAGGTCAGAGGAGGATTCCGGATGCCGGAAACCCCATAAAAAGAGAACAACCCACACAAGAGCCGGGGTCTGCGCATCTTTCTTCTTTACGCGGGCGTAATTCTCAAATCGCACGGGGGACTTTCCTCCATTCGGTTAAAACCACACGTGTGAAGTATTAAAGGCCCATCTACAATGGCTGCAAGAATAAGGTTCTAAGCGTAAGCAGTAAGAAATAGACCAACCACAATCGATTATTATAAGAATAATCGATTATGGTTGGTCCATTTCTTACCGCTCACGCTTACAACCTTATTCTTGCAGCCATTGTAGATGGGCCTTAACAGGATATCGCGAGTCGCAAGATGTGCCAGCGGGGAGGTCTCGCGAACAGGTCTCCACGACAGGTGGATCTCGGATGATAATCCCGCGGGATCAGGACACGAGGAGTCGACGAGTCACTGACGATCTTCCTCCCGTTGCTTCCGTTTCGCGGCGAATGTCGCGCAATATGTCGCGAAAACGAAAATTCTCCACGACGACGTCGACACGTGCGCGGCAGCTCGCAGCTTCGTCTTTCGTCCGCAGAAACGAGCCCGAAACCGTCGGCGTCGTCGTCGCCGTCGCCGTCGCCGTCGCGGTTAATATACATCATCACGCAGTGTTCGCTATTGAATGGCGCGAACGGCGAAATCGTGTCATGAACTTTGCTCTTTCGCACTGCTCTCCACCCACGGCTCAATATGGGGAAAATGCAGCATCCACCATGGTGCGTAATTCCCAACGCGACGACGACGACGACGACGACGACGACGACGACGACGACGACACTCTGGTCGTGTTTATTTGACCTTTTGCGAGCCACGAGAAATATAAACGCGCACTTCCCGGAAAATACGAATAAATCCAGCAGCGCGCACAAATTGCACTCTCTCGTAGCAAATATGTTCTCCCAACTCGCTGAAGAGAGAAATTTTCGGAAGAAGCGTCGCGCGCGCCACCGCTCGATCATTCAAAAAACATCCTCCAACGCTTTATCTTATATTTGACCGTGATTCGACGAACGATTGTCGAGCATTTATCAGAGGACGCGTGAGCGTGAGCTTAACCTTACCGTACGTTGTCAAGGTTAAGAAATGCCCCCAGAAATGCGCACAATTATTTGTGACGCGCTAAGTGAGACGGACCGCCGCGCCGCCGTAGAGATGTATGTCGGATTCGGCACGATAACGCTCTGCTCCTCTTCGTGACCAAGAAGACCACAACACTCTTCTTCTTCCAGGGCTTCCGAGGGTGGTTTAGCACCGGATGCAGCTGGGGGTGCGGGCGCGGGCGCGGGCGCGGGCACCGACGGCATCGTCGGCGGTCCCAGAACACCTCAGCAGATCGCTTCGCAGAAACGGTTGCAGGCGACGCAAGCGCAAGTCGACGAGGTCGTCGACATCATGAAGACGAATGTCGAGAAGGTGCTCGAGCGCGATCAGAAGCTCTCCGAGCTCGACGACCGAGCAGGTGAGTGTATTCCCGCCCTGACGCGAGAAGTCGCTCTATATCCAGCGAGCATTGACGCTCGCTGGAATCGCCGCGTGCGAGGATCAGTTTATTCGATCTCCGCCCGTAAATTTCAGCCGGAATTATTCATATTTTATCTCGTCGAGTGATCTTACGAAAGTTACACTCATTTCCAGCGGTAATTACATTTAAGTCTCATTTGAAGGTCTCTCTTGAAGAATGAAGTAGCGCGGTGATGATACTATATATAAATACGCGTACATAAAGTTATTGTCGCCGCGCGTTATTACGGCAGCGCTTACTGCAAAATCATTTTCTTCACCGTAATAATTGTTGTTTACTGTATGCGATCACCGTGATAAGTAGAATAGATTTTTCTCTCAATGTACGGCGCCGCGTATTATTCATTTATACCGCCTATGTGTCCGTCAAGTCAATCCTACACGTATGATCTTTGCTCCGTTCACCGTTTCAGCATCGGACGCTGGACATTGGCCATTAATTAACAAACGCCAAATGATTGAATGGACGCCGGAAATTTGCGCTCGATATTATTTCTCCGGGCGAAGGTATGCACACGGTTACGGAAAGACTCGAAGAAGTTTAACTACAGGCGCGCATTCGTACGTTCGTACGTTACACGGTGATTTATATTGCACGCGTCACAACGCGCTGTCAAATCATTATTCATGCTCGCTATGCTCACTCGGCGAACCAGGAGGACTAGATAGAAAATATGTCCGCGCCAAGAGTATATACTTTCCATTCATCGCATCGGCGATAAAGTAGTTCGACCCTGCGCGTCTGACTGCACGTTGATATCGATTACTGTGACACGCTCGAATCGATGCCGTGTCATATGTGGCTATGTATATGTGCGTTTGTGTGTGTGTGTGTGTGTTTGTACGCGTCAATCTTTCCTCACGCAGTCCATTCTCGCGATCACGCGCGATATTTATCATCGGCTAAATAAACACACTGCGCATTTTGCATTAACGAGACGCGTTATCAACGGTCGGTTGCTCGACAAATACGTTTCTTCTCGAGCGAAATTTTTACACGTTCTCTCTATAACCTCCAAAGTAAATCCGCGCTGACGCGCATATCGCGCAATTGACTTGTGCAGATGCACTTCAACAAGGAGCCTCACAATTTGAACAACAAGCGGGAAAGCTGAAGAGAAAGTTCTGGCTACAAAATCTAAAGGTGAGAGTAATCTTGCGCTTCGCAAATCCTGAGATACGTACTTTGCCAGAAAGTAAGATTCTGTATTCACAGTATAAAGTGGAATGTACATTTTAGTAGTGTGTGTACAAGTGTACAAGTGTATCGTGTCATTTTACACGCTTTTAATCAATTGCAATATTTTAACACATAAAAGTAGTAGATAATAAAAGTAGATTTTATAAAATTTGACAATAATTGCTTCTCTCCCTCTTTCTCCCGACAGATGATGATTATCATGGGTGTCATCGGATTAATCGTATTGGCCATTATTGTCGGTAAGTGTTTCACTGACACGCTTTTTAACGCAGCTGTCAACAATGTCACTACTGTAACTGTCTCAATGTTTTGTAACCATTTCGTTGATGTATATCTCTCGCCCCAATTTCGAGCGACTAATTCAGAGACTTATCCTCTTGACGATCGAGTTCACCAGACGCTCGCTGCCGCTGCCGGCAGCGTCGACTTCGTGCCAGTGCGATTTGCCAACCTAACCGGACGCGTTTCGCGTTTCGTAGACGTCAAGTTTATTATTTAGATAAGAGATATTAATGTTCAGCTCACGAGCTTACGATCGATCGCACGGGCGAGTACCGGCCAGTTCCACAACGATTAGGTGAACGTCCGTTTTGAGCCTGATGGGGCTTTCGCGAAACTTTCATTTCATTGTTTGGCCTGAATCGGTCGTTCCTGGCTACTGTCTCTCTCTGTCGATCTATGTCTTTCGTGCTAAGGAGACATAGAAGAGCTATACGAGCATTGTGTTTGCACGATGCGAAGAACGACGATGTGACGAGCGAGGGTTGTTTTTGTTTTTTCTTTGTCCGCGCGAGTTTGCACGGCTCTCGCACGCGGCGAGGATTCGCGCGTACGAGAATCTCTCTCGCGAGAACATAGCTTTCCTATCTCCCTCTCTCGGCGAAGCCAGTCGTCGAAACGAACTGTTTATCGTGCTTTGCTTTGAGCGACGACAATCATCTGAACAGCCATCATGAAATCTTTCCGAAAGCGTCATGCTCGCGAACGTCTCGGCGTCTCTCTCGTGTTTTCCCAGGTATTCCAATCCCGATTTAAATTTATCTCAGCAAAGTATTCATTCTTTCGCGGTTCTTTACCGGAACGATTACGATTAAGATCGTATCACTCGTGTGTTGTTTGTATGCACAAGTCTTTATCGCGCGCGCGACGTGAAAGACGCGCGAGAAAGACACGTGCTTGCGCGTACGATTCGCGATTTGAAGAAAGTAATGTAGCCTACTCACCCTACTCCAGCCCTCCGCCCATTCGTCATCTAACGTGTGAAATGTATGTGTTTCTCTTTTCCCATCTAGCGAACTTCATGTAGGCGCGCTGATTCGTGGAAGAGATTTGTGTGTGAGTGAGTCTGAAGGTAGAAAGCAAGATAATTGCGACGTTGCGTCTTCGCTGTTGTTTCTCACCCCCGTTTCTCGCCCTCTTTTCTTTTTCTTTTTTTTCCTCTTACATGTCGTAGAATGTTATACAATGTTGAACCCGTACTGAATTTTCGAACTCGTTGTCTGACCGTCTGAGAAAGTCCGCCTCCAAAGAGCTTTCGACATTTTTCTTATTTTTCATGATGTCACCAAATATATGCCAAAGTGCTTCCAGTTTTTATACACGAATTTTATATTTCATCGTTAATCACGATTGCATCCTGCTAAGAATATATATATATATATATATATATATCTCATTGTTGCTGTAACGATACGATCTGTATATTATTACTGTCATGGTTGTATTATATTAAAATTCTCGTCGTCACACTCGAGCGTAAACGCGAAGCACCTTGAGAAAAGCACGCGAGGGAAATTCGTGTATTTATAAAACTGGCACTTCTAGTCGGTGTTACGTTGTCTGCCTGTGATAGGTACTTGCTGGTATTTCTGTTGCTACATGTATCCTACAAGTGTACAAGAACCCGTTGCTCTCCATCTCGTCCTAGAGTCGTTGCATATTTATGAGCTGTGGATTTAATTGGGAAGTGCTCCAATTAAGAATCACCGTTGATTGACGATACAGCGGTGCGCTTCATAAATTTTCGACGACATTCTCCATTATTCCCGGATTTTTCGCCGCGTTACAACAATTCGGAAGTGTTGCAAACTCAACGTCGGGCCAATATCGTCCAATATCTTTCTCTCACTAGGAATTTTGCTCAATGATCTGCCCATTTTGACGTTTTCGAACGCGTCTCTTTAAAGTTTCCGCAGGACGGAAGAAAGTGACGTGTGACGATTTTTAATAATTTTAGCGCGTCAGATTCTCTCTGTCGTCTCCTCCTGTTTTTTTTCGGCGTTTTTCTTGCAAATGTGTTGCACGCGCGCGCGCGCGCGCGCGCAAGTCGATCTCACGGAACACAATCGTCGGTTCTTTTAAAGTGAAACCGACGAGCAAGAAATTTATTTCTGAGATGGAATATTCTCCGCAATATACAGCAACATACCTCGCCCTAGTGTGCATAGATGTGTATGTGTGTGTGCGCGTGGGTGTGTATTATTATGACTGTATAATCGTTGTTATCTGTGTCTATCTGTATCTTTCGATGGTATCCTCTTCCTGAAGTTGGTCCCAGGCAGTGATTTTCAATTTTCTCTGGTGGTCAATTAATGAAATCAAAAGTAACGAAATAAATAAGCGGAGAAACGAGAAAAGGCAAAAAGAGAGTGTGTAAAAATGCGTGAAACTGGAGACTTTTGTGACTCGCGAACCGTGGGAGAAACAAAGTAAAAGAGAGAAATAAGTACCACCAGGAAATGAAAACACAAGAAATGAAAAACATCACAACGACAAACGACAACATCAACAACAACAAGCACAAAATCTCCCCCAACCGACAACAATAAGAATTTTTACCAAACAACAACTACAACTACAACTACAACAAAAAGAAAGGTCTCTCTCAAAGTTTTTGTTTAATCCTATTCTACTCTCCAGTACGGTAAGCTATGATTTTTTATTGTTGCACTTGATACAACTTTTCCATCTTTTTCTCTCTTCTTCCTCGTCGAAGTGCCAATTTGAATCTCTTCTTTCAGCATCTTATCTTATTATTCGATCTTTTCTTTTTCTACATGTACGAAACACTCTGCTTATCAAAATTTACGATACAGCATTACATATTATAGAACATATTTCTCATTTGTATTTTTTCTTTTCTTTTTCCGACAAATCGTTGTTCGCGGCTAGACGCGATTGTAATTTGATTTTGTCGAAACTGGACATTTTTATATACGGATCGACATTCGACTTTATCTCGTGACACTTAGATATCAACATCTTTCAGTCGTTTCTATTTCGTTTCGCGCGTAATATATGTATACGGTCGTGCGCTCATTCTATTCTGCATGTTTCTCTCCTTTCTCTCTCTCTCTCTCTCTCTCTCTCTCTCTCTCTCTCTTCATTCTTCGTTTTATTCTTCTTTTACCTTTTTCTTTACCAAGTGACATTCTTCAAGCTAGTACAGTCCGAAACTCATACACCGTGCTCTACGGGAAATGCATATCTCGTAATATGCATTTCGATGTCGCAGAGACGAATCAACTTAACTCCTTTTCTGGGACGATCTTCGCGCTTCATGCTTAACCTCTTACTGCGGTGCATGTGCGATCGATTTAATTATTTCCCTCGATGGAAAACGTCGACGTTGTTATTATCGTTGCATGACTTGTGCCTTGTATGGAATGCGTCAACAGCTTCTAACGCGACAAAACGAACAAAGGGAAAGGAAAGGGAAAGAGAGGAGCGAACAACTTTTCAACAGCCAGAATTTCCAACGAACCGTTGAAAATAATGACGTCCGTGTGTTACTACGTTGCGTTACTGCACATCCGCAGTAAACTCCTCGAGCAGAAAGAAAAAAAGCGGAACTTCTGGCAAAGAGCGAAATTTCATCCCTGCCGTTAATTAATATCGCAGGGGGGAAATTCGCGCGCATCGGGTGGATGTGCGTGTGTGTGTGTGTGTGTGTGTGTGTGTGTGTGTGTGTGTATGACGAGTATGCCGTACACACGCACCTAAGCTGACCTACTTGCATGCAATTCTCCCCCTAACTTCGTGGCTAAACGGGTTGTCGTGTAGCTCCGGTACGACGAACTCTGCCGATGATCTCAGCTTGCAAAACAGCACGTCGTGGGCAACAACGGTGTAAATAACATTATGCATACGTATAACTGCTGATCGTCGACGATGTCGCCGAGTCTTGAGAAGGCCGTAAAAAAAAAAGCCGGCGAGTGTCTGGCCGAAGAGTTGCGCGCGTTTGTACGACGATATATCGACGTTTACTTCATACGGACGTGACTTTACATACACGATAACTGCAAATAATGCATCATTTGTTCTTCATACGCGCGATGGAGTTATCGATCGAATAGAAATCGAATGTAACGTCTCCGCGACAATGGCCGCGTTCGGCAGAAAAAGCTGCTTACTAAGCGCTTAGTGATTATCGTTCCTAATTGATTCATTCCCCTGGATTTGTTAAAGATCTAAAAGAATATCATCCAATCATAGATAATAATCACTGGTAATCGCTTAGTAAGCAGTTTTTTCTGCTGAACGCGGCCAATGTTTTCCTAGATATTCGAAAGATTCGTCAAAGCTCTCACGCAATTGTCTCGATCGAAACGCTTTGTCCACCACGTGCTCGTAATTCGCCGAGCCTCTGCATGTAAAGGATTACGAAATGCAAAAAAAAAGATGATAATAATGAAGGAAAAGCAAGAGAAAGAGAGAGAGAGAGAGAGAGAGAGAGAGAGAGGAGAATGAGCGGAAAGACGGATTAAGATCCGAAGAGAAGGAGAGAGTTAACGGCAACGGCATCGCCGGCCTTGACACAAGCCAAGTGAGGAGGAACAAACGCGTTGTTATTGTTTTCAGCGAGCATCACCGGCGGCAGCAATACGCAAAATAGAACGCGAGAGTAAAGCTAAAGTAAAATAACGCCACAATAAACAATAAGAAAAAAGAAGCAAAGGGAGAAGAAGAGGAGAGGAAAGAAGAGGAAGAAGAGACGAAGAAGAAGAAGAAGAAGAAGAAAGAACGAGCGGAAGAGGAAAGGAGGTGGTAGCGGTTGGAGAGAAGTACGCGTGAGAAGGTGATTTTTCAGACGAGAATATGGTGACTAGGAAAATGATCTCGCAAAACGGAAATTGTGATGAGCCGTCAACGAGCTCTGCCGAAGTTCACCGTGACGTAACGTCGGATCGATCGCGTGGAGCTCGCTCGATCGGTCGATCGATTCCGATCGATCTCGACCGCGGAACTTGGAATTCATCAGCGAGGCGAAAGGATCGGGCGCGTTGGCGGAAAGGATCAAGCGGTGGGACGTTAAGCCGAGCGGGAACGACGATGAGAGCCGTCGCAACGTCGACCACGAAAATATCCTCTTACTCCTTGTAGTAGTTTTCGGATCGAGGATCAAGCGGAGGTCGTGACGGTCCACCCTGATGAACCGACTCTGTCTCCGTATCTCGCATGAATGGACGAAGAGCGCGCGTAACGATCTACGTTTCTTGTCACTTGCCTCGCGCAAGATCTGACGAATTTCATTATTATTATTATTATTATTATTACTTTCACTTTTTTATTATCGTCATCATTATTAATCTCACGCTTATGAATACCGTGTTGTCGTATATCGGGGGTATCAGCTCCGACTGCTCGAGGATAGTCGCGTTGTCTACCTGAATAACAATATGTCGACAGATTCAAGTCCAACAGTTGTCGAAGACGAAAGTAGACGAGTAAAATTCGTTCATTGCAATTCAATTCTCGCGCGAGCAAACACGTTTGGATTGATGAACCGATTGGTGAAATGAAACTCATCTCGCGCGCCTTCCTTCGTTCATCTTCGTTAGTTAGCATAGAGAAAAAGAAATAGAATGAGAGTGCAAGAGCGGGCGAGAGAAAAGCATACGATTATTGTGCACGAAGAAACGAAAGATTTGCTAGGAAAATAAAAAAATTCGTGTGTGTGTTGTAGCCACGCCATATAATATATAATAAATATATAGGATATATATATATATATATACACATATACACGTATACATATATATATGTGTGTGTGTGTGTATGCGTGTGTGTATGTATGTATGTATGTATATATATATATAGACAGGATGTTCGTAAAATCTCTCCGACGAAGGCAGTTGCTGGTAACACGCGTTCTCACATGTATATCGAGCATTTAATTTATATAGACATATATGTATATATATATAAATTCACATATTGTAAATAATATATCATTTGTCCCTCACACACATACATACACACACACACACACACACACACACACACACACACACACACACACACACCACACACACACACACACACACACACACACACATACGCTTGCGCGAGATAGGAATTATCGACCAACCCATAACGACCTGTCGAAGAGTGTCACGCATCCTTTTTGTTCCCGTCGCATCCCGCGTATCTTTTCAGAGGAGAACAAACCCGATCGAAAGGATCGAAAGAGGGGAAAAAATTGACGAAACAAAAAGACGAGAGAAAAAAAGGGAAAAAAAAACGAGAAATAGACGAAAGAAATAGAGAACGCGGCAATCGCCTGCCTTCGTCGAAGACGGTACTGGAACCTGGTTTCCGAGCAGCCTGTGTACAGAAAATTTGAAAGAATAATAAAGGAAAGAGAGCGCGCGCTCGAGATAAAGAAAGTGGGAGTAAAGAGAGATCGCGGAAAAGGTACGGCTCGATGCAGCGAGGCGGCGCAGCTCTGGGCAACGTGTTTTAAGGAAGAATTATCTACAGATGTTATGTATACATGTTAATAATAATGATTACGATGATAATAACGATAATATTAATAATAATAAAAATAATAATAATAATAATAATAATAAACGGCTAATGCGCTATCACCTTAATAACGACGACGACAACGACGACAATGACGACGACGGGGACGAGGACGACGATGACGAATACGATAACGACGAGGGAATTTGAGCGCTTCGCGGACACGATCGAGGCCGAGAAAGGGACGTGTCCTGTTCTATGCGAGTCGAGGATATACCGGGACGCTTTATCCTCGATGATCCTCTTACCGACCGCGAAACAAAGCGTTGTTCGCGACGAGGATACATCGCGCGGCAACGCCGATTGATCGTCGACGAGATCACCGGTGAGATCATCGATCTCGTCGATCCTTCCGAGTTTCCTTCCCCTCTTACGTTTCTCGGTCGATCCCGCTTGGTTTCGGTACTGTTGACACAGCAATAATTTCGTCAGACGAAACGACCATCCTTCTAATTATCCTTGTAACCCTCCTCCCCCCTCGCTCGATTATTCCTGCCGATCCCGTTTCGACGCGCGAATGACAGATGCCGTTTCGCCAACGATCTCCCAGCGCGTAGAAGGTATACTGAAAGACACTGAGGTATATAAGGAACGACAAGATAGAAAGAAAGAGACCTTTCGCAGTGTCGATCGGCAAAACGCTGGACGATTTTGTCTCGTTTACTCGTTGATATTCGACCTTGAAAGCCTCGAAAAGGGGGAGGGCGCGGGGATAAAGGGGAGGGGGGAAGACTATCGAAATTGATAGCGTGAAGTTATTATCGTGTCTTTTTTGAGATAATTATTTATCATTTTCGTATGATAACATCGTTAAATCAATAAATACATCGAGAGGCCCACCCGACGTATGATTAATTACATGTACATCTAATGGTTACGTTAGCTATTGCAAATAATTGAGATTAATGTTACTGATCCGCTGAGAGAAGAGAGCGGTGAGAAATTGGTCTGAAAAAATTAACGCGACTGAGATTCACGATCGCCCGACAGCGGGAGATCGCCGAGATCTCCCGCTGTCGGGAATGCTAATCCGCGATTGGGATTATCAGGGACCACGAGTCGCACCACGTTTTCACGCCGAGTGTCTGTTTCTCTCGGAGTATCTCTCGGAGTCGCCCGAAAATCGGAGATCGGCCGATCGACAATGAAAAATTCTAACAAAGTAGCGAAATGGCGCTGCGGCCCCACACACACAACAACCGCGAGTTACGATGTTTAAACGATCGTTCTATGTTTACGAACTATAAACACATAGCTGTACGTCATATCTTAACCGTCGACGTTCTTAATTATTAAAACGAGACGAATAGGAAACACACACGACGATGATATGCTTTGAACATTGTACAGTACCGAATAAAAAGATATACTGCGTAGTTGAGAATGGAGAAGTTACGAGGAAATGACAAAGGTGGGGAGCGACACGACGATTGTGTGATTTTTCTGATTTGCTTCTCTCATTGCGCATTGAGTCGCGCGAAGCTTTCGCTTCGATCGTAAGGTCTCTTTGTCTTCTGGAATGCCGACGCATTTGTGCTGCTACATTTCTGCATTGTCGCTCGCCGACGACAACAGAGCACGTTTGTTGTCGGTCACTTACTGTGTGAAATCATTAGCGTTACACGCTAAGAAGGAAAAGACTGTTTTCCGAGAAGAATTGTTCGATCACGGCCGAACGAAAGTAACGCGATTGAAATGATCTTTAAAGAAAATTATTATCCATGATCGAATGTATCGCGCAACGCGCCTTCCAGGAAGAGGATCATTATAAAGCCTAGTGTTCCGTTTAAAACCAAGAGCAGGAGGTAAGAACAATAAATTTGCTATTGTGCGCGCCGGTGTATGCCGTGACATCTTTTACCTGCGTTTCTTCTTGCGAAACTCGCTTCTTCTTCCCGTTCTTTTCTTTCGGTTCACTTCGCTCGATCTGATACGATACGATCTCTCAGTACGGGCGATCGTGTCGATTTTTATAACGTTATATACGTAGATTTTTATAACGCGTTCCGTAAGATCCACGTTTAAATTAAAACAAGAACGCATAGAAGATTTCCTTTCTTTATCTCCTTCTTTCTTACTTTCTATTGTGTGTGATACCACCGATACCTATGGGATAAGTGCTTCCTTTGTTGTACGTATTGCGCGCGATTTATAGTCTCTTCTTTCACATCATTTCACACGGTCATAAATAATACGGATAAACATCGTTGTTATTAGAGAAACATGAAATTACTACTGTATAGACTCACGTCGTTTCGTGATTGTGCCGGAAGTAGAACACCCAATCAGTGATATGTGTGCGTCCAATTGCAACAAGTCGCTTCGCTATTATTTCACTCGTTGTCTACTCGTACAACTGTTCTGACTTTAGTGTGTAAACGGTGCCGGGTGCGTGACGAGATATAAAATAAAACGCGACAATACCTATACAGTATATTACCTAACGGTCACCTAATCGAGTCACCTTGAAAAAGGGAGAGGGAGAGAGAGAGAGAGAGAGAGGGAGAGAGAGAGAGAGAGAGAGAGAGAGAGAGAGAGAGAGAGAGAGAGAGAGAATATCCTGTAATATAACAGCTGTTGAACAAAAGAGACAACAACAAGACAACAATACTAAACACAAGTTCTCGAGTGCGTTCTAGCGTTGTACACAACCTGTATATTTTTCATTTGTCCAAATTATATGTTTCTGTGTGTTAATCGTTATAAAAGAAAAAAAGTGTGAGAATAAAAAGTATCAAGTACAATGTCACTCTTGTACCGTAGATAAATAGGAGCATCCTGCGATTCTCTCGAAGGTACGAGAGACCGGCGATTTTCCGAGAACGCGGAAAGAACGCGGAAAATCGCGTTCTCCTTGGTACTTTTACTTACTCGGTAATTTCACGGACGAGGGGAGGACCTCGTAGTCCCTCCACTACGTTCGTCTCTCATTTGAGATCGCACATTTACCCCCTTTTCACGACGACCAGGCAAACTACGTGTTTTCCTCCCGAAGCGTGAAAGAATACCGAATCGTTCGCGTACCTCCGGCGCAATCCACGTCCGAGTCTCCGAGTTTCCGGACGAGGAGAACGAGAGAAAAGGAACCATCATACCGTTTCTCACGAGCGAATTCATCCCCCGGGACATCGTCGTCCCGATGTATCAGATGACCATTAAAATGTACTAATACGAGTGACGCTTGAACATTTCAGTGAAATTCATGCCGGAATCGACGCCGACCCCGCCCGCGTACAACTATCCGGCGGGTATGCTATCTCCAGGTACGAATCTGCAACCAGCCGCACCTGGTGCAGCTGGGCCCGGGGTTGCGACGGGCAGTGCATCCGCTGGCAGTGGGGCCAGTGGCCCGGCACAGACCGCCGGAGCCGCGTTCGTTGCTACCGGCGACCTGCACGATGGTAGACGCAATGTCGTGTAAACGCGACGACGACATCCTGCTCGTCGTCGGGAGGAGAGTGAAAAAGCGAGAGCGAGAACGAGAGCGAGAGCGAGAGAGAGAGAGAGAGAGAGAGAGGGAGAGAGAGAGAGAGGGGGGAGGGAGGAGAAAGAGGACCGACCCTGACAACGACGTGACGTCCTCGTCCGAAATCTTCGTGAGAAGCAAAATTGTTCGACGCGTATCGGCGCTTCGAACGCCGCGCCGACTCGACTCGGAATTCGCGATCGCACGCGTACACGTCGAAGGGTTCGCTCGCAAAGGACGACAGGTAATCCTCGCGACATGTTCTCAGGGTTGGGCAGCGACCTCCTGAGTAACGAAAACGCTAACGAATTATTCTCCTTTTTAGTAGAAAATGAATTACGGTAAAGAGTTCATTTGAAGAAAGAACAGTAACTTTCTCAGACCTGCCTGTCCCGTAGGATTCGCGTCCTGGGAAACGGGTCCTACGACACGCGAATACCTCGCCATTGTGTCGCGCGCCATCGCAGCGAACCGTTCGATCGCACCAACCTCGCGCTCGCGCGCGCGTTCGATCGATCCAACGTCGAATCTGATTTTCCTATCAATTGTGTTTTGTAGCTGACGTAGCTCCGCAAATATATCTCACCTACCGGTTATTATCAATCAATCATGTAGCGCGTAGATTTCTTTAGTAGAAATACGTAGCGATTGGACAGTTAAAGTTATTTTCGCTGGACGTCTTTTACATTCTTAATTACATTCTTAATTCGTATCCAGTCGAGATAGTATGTGTGTGCATGCGTGTGTGTATGTGTGTGTGTGTGTGTGTGTGTGTGTGTGTGTGTGTATCGCACGACTCGCAAAGCAGAGCTTACGAGGTTCGTTCAAGTGGAAGCAGCATATCGACCGGTCTTTTCCTCATTCAAGGAAAAGAGAACAGAAAGATCTAGGTCACTGGAGGAAATCACCGCGGGAGGAGGGGTGGGCTTCTATTTTTTTCTTTCGATGAAAGAGCGCGAGGGACTCTTCTTCAATTCTGCTCAGCTAATCGCTAGGAGAAAGCATCAACACGAAGTATCGTTCACCGAGAAGATACACGTGTATCTGACATGCAGATATATATACATGTATATGTACATACATTATTACAAATTGTCAATGTAAAATTAAACCCACGTGTGTGTGCGTGTGTGTGTGTGCGTGTGTGTATGTGTTTGTGTGTATATACACACCCACACATATACATAAATTACTTATATGTTAAAGTATCGAATCAATCAAAATACGGAGAGATAATAATAATAATAATAGACGATGACTGTCGGAAAGATTATTGAACATGGAATTGTACGAGCACACACTTGCCAACAAACAAGAGAGGGGAAAAAAGTGACAAATGCGAAAATGTTCGAGCGTGCATTGTATACAGGATGTTTCGTGTAAATGAACATGTTGTTCTTGCGCTCACCTGTGCGTTTCGCGCGAGGCATTATTTCCGACAATATATGATTTTCGGACGTGCCATGGACGAACTCGTTGCACTTTCTCGTTAAATCCCTCGATTTTACTGCTCGCCGTTCGCGATTGATATAATCGGATGCAGAACACACGATTGCGAAAGTTATATTCGGCTTGACTTTGTAACGAACACACGATTCGCGTTATACATCCCTTTGCACCGTTTAATTCTTATTAATACTCTACTTTATATATATATATATATTGTATGTAAATTCACAGAGGGGCATATTATTTCCTAAAGTAGTCTTTATACTTCCAAGTATTATCTAAGAATTGTCAATATTATAAATTTGGGGACGTACTTTTGAAAGAGAAGAAAAAAAATGTTCCATATAAGCGGGCAAATTCGTGAAATTTAATTTATGCGAATGTACTATATAGAAAGTGAATGAAATGTAGAAAGAACAATTATTGATTCCTATTATTGTATCTCGATGTAGAGCGGTCGAATCGATGATCGGGTCGAATCTCTCAAGAGAATTGAGTCCTTTGGAAATATTAGCGTAAAATAAATACTATAGCGTTAATTAATTGGCATACTTCAATATTACGTTGTCATAGTGCTCGCTATCATTGAGATCCGTTGTCATCGCTTGTGGCAAAATGTTCGGTGTGATCGCGGCGTGTCTACAAGAGAGAGATTCGAAACTAGCTGCTCTCTTTTGAGAAAACGAGAGATCAACGTATTAATTGTATTCTATCTAACGAAACACTGTGCTGTTACTTGATATCAAGTCATAATATAGATTCGATAAGCTCTGTCTATACATCGATAATAATTACAAAAGAAAAAAGAAAACAAACTATAAAAGGTAGGTTTGTAAGTTAGCCACTACAGAGAAACGCTTTGACACTTTAGGCTGTTAATACGTTATTGTGTGCGAATAACAGAATTATAATTGCAATATTCTCTCAGTTGTATATCTCACCGAAAGGAACAACAAATGTATATCGAGAAATATAGAAGTAATATACTATAAACATATATATATATATATATATATATATATATATATACATATATATATATATATATATTACTGTATATTAGGCTTAAATATATAATGTTGTGAAGAATAGTTGTACCTATATTCATTGAATAATATGTATGTGCAGTCTTTGATATATAAAATATTAACCTTATTATTAAGTCACTATAGCCAATATATGTTCAATTGTTCATGTATAGAATTTCAATGAATTCCAATAAGATGATAAAACAAGAAAGAAAGAAAGTAATACTTTAAAGTAAAAACTCACTCGCTGTTGAAACGTATTGCTTAACAATTAAAAAGAAACCTCTAATCTAGCTGTTGAGTTTCGTTACAACTTGTATTTCTCATTAAGCCAATGGCTTGCACACATTCAAGTAAACGGATTATCTGGCGCCATCTATCTATGTGTTTGTAATATCTTTTTTCTTTTACACCCGTTACGTTTAATTTTAGACCCGTTGTTTTTGTTATTTATTATTATTGTTGTTATTCTTACCATTATAAATTAACTATCATGTGAAAGTATAGTACGATTCAATAATTTTTTGATTTGAATAATTTTTTATTTTCAAATAACACAGCGGAATTTTAGGTTAGGAGAAACCCTTTGTTTTTAACAGCGCTCAACCATGAATCAGACGAATTTAACTTGTAATTCTTCAGTGACACAATTGAACAGCAGGGTGAATAAATTTGGTCTTTATTAGTTCATCAAATTAAAAAGATTATGAACACAGGAGTGAAATAAATCTAAAAATATCGAGAAGATGATCGATCCTCTAAACAAATGAGAAGAATCGAACATCGATTCATCGGTTGTATATCGATTATCTCCCACCACTTCTACTCCATTGCCATTCGACAATTTCGACATTCGACGCTTCTGAAGTTAGCACACTTGAAAAAGAGAAACAAAGTAACTCTGTAGCCCGCCATATCTGCTTTTTCGTACTTGGAGCAACTTGAAGCATTCATAAACATGATACCGGTAAGTTTGCATTGGAAAACATGGAAAAACCAATATTGTTGACAATTAGGACGAAATCTGTTCGAAATAATATTCAAATCATGAAAAAGCATATGTGATTTGTTGATTGTATCATATATATCTAAGGATTTTATTTTATTTCAAGATTAGCCTGATTGTGTCGAATTAGCATGTCTCCTTTGACACACTGCATGATCCCGCCTATATTTTGTATAGAAATAATCTCGTTATGTAAAATGTCTTGTTTGCGAATTTTTAGACACTAAAAAAATCCAAGGGTCCTGCGAAGAAGCAAGTCCTTCAGGACAAGGGATAAAAGAAGTGTGAAATTTACAATTGACTACATTTATCCTGTAGGAGATAATATCATGGATGTAGCCAATTTTGTAAGTTGCATAGTATTATCTCAATATGCAAGTTTAGTGCGTATTATAATATTCATCTTCCAAGGATACATTACTCAAAGGATGGATACATTACTCAAAATTTGTATTTCGAATCGAAAAAAAAGCATCACCTATACAGTTTACTTGAATTTATAACTTATATATATCAGCCTATATTATATTAGTGTGTAAAATAGTGATTTATTGTAAATTACAATGACTGATTAGATTTTTGTATCTCGCCACTATTGTTAAAATGAGCAATTACAAAATATCAATTTTTAGGAAAGATATTTGCACAATAGAGTACAAAGTTAATGGTAACCTTGATAACAATGTAAATTTGGAGCATAATAACATGAAGCTCTCCATCAATAATGATGTTGACTTTTTAAAACGGTGAGTAGTGTCATATTTCTTTAATTAACCACAAATTTGACCATCATAGACTTGTGAATATTACATGATATCAAGTAATGTTGCTATAGTAATGTTGCTATATATTATAAGCTATAGAAAGAATAATATTTGCACTAATCTGGAAAACTGTGTTTTGATAGGTACCTCAAGTACTTGACAAAGAAGTACTTGAAAAAAACATAATGACTTAGAAAAAAAAGTTTTGATTAATTGTGAGTGGTATGGGAAAAAGACAAAGATATGTATAAATTATGGTACTTCCACATTAATAGCCAGGAAGCTGATGATGAGGAGAATACCGAGTAACTTTTTTACTTGTTTTACATTTGGCTTCAAATGTGTTTGTGAATAAATTACCAATAAACAAAATCTACCATTTTTGTGTTTGTAGCCCATCTCTATTCAAAACATGCAAATTGTTTGCAAATCTTTATATATCAAGTTTTGGTATATTTATATACATATACTTATACATTAATTTACGTTCTATATATAGCTATACTGCAACAAATCTGGTAAATATTTTGCAAATATTTTGAACCGTATAAGATTGTGGTGTCTACTTGTGAGTACTTAATAACTCTACCAACTGTAAGTTAGCCATCGGTTAGCTTAAATATTATCTGGAGAAAGTGCTTACAATGATAAACTTATTAATATTGCATATGTGTACATGTTACGTTAAGCGAATTTCACTTTAGCTACACCTCAGTAGTTACCTTGTTTCTTCTGACTGCACTTTCATCACCTAAATAAATGAAGCAAGTGGTTGTTCAAAATTTGCCAAACGAACGGCTAAAATATCACGAGTGCAAAGGATGCAAATAAAAGCATAATTTTCCTCTCGATTTCTGATTATTCGGTACGTAAAATGTCCGAAAATCCGTTCTACGGATGGGAACTATTTCGTACATGGCGGAGGAACGTGTCGAAGAACAGCGGCGCAGTGCGCAGTCACAGTGACGCACGAGATTGTTGTGACAGAAGTGTCCCCGAGAGAGTATCGTGTCGCGTCTGGTCGTGTCATCATCGTCGTCATCGTCGTCGCCTCAGTTCAGCCAATTGAAGCTAGTTGGAAGGAATAAGGGTCGAGTCGGGATTAAACGAGGAACACGACCGAAACGAGGAACGTCAGTGTCGTCGTACCGCTGTCCCCTAGCAAACGGGGATCATGAAATTTCAATACAAGGAGGAACATCCGTTCGAGAAACGGAAGGCCGAAGGCGAAAAGATACGACGGAAATACCCCGATCGCGTGCCCGTGAGTACCCACGACCACCAGCGTCTCTCGGACGATTAACAATCGACTTCCGTTCTTTCTTCGGTGTTTCTCTCGCGATGGATTTTTTGCATGACAACGAAGGAACGGTCTGACGTTGCGTTTTCGCAAGGGATTCTCTCTGGCTCGACAGGAACCAAGGTCGTCTTTATTGCGCGTCGTCGCTCTAGCCCGTATTTCTTAATGGCGAAGCGTGATTCCTCGCAGATCCGTGACCGGACCCACCGCGACACACTCGCGACGAAATTACGCCTTTTCGCGGCCCTTTTTTTCGTCGACCCTCCTCCCCGCTCCGTATTGATCCATTACGTGGTGTAACCAATGAACTTTCGTGCGTGCCGAACGGCTCGCTCGCGCTGCCACCCGCGCGAGAGAAATTGTCGAATCGGGAGTAATTACGGTAAACAAAGGTACTCTGCTTTTCGCATTGGCAGCTGATCGTTGCCTCTGCGCGACCTGGTGATGCAACTCGGGCCATTGTAGCGGTTTGTATAAAGGGTTGCGTTATCGGGAAGCCCTTCTCTCTCTCTCGCTCTCTCTCTCTCTCTCTCGCTCTCTCTCGCTTACGTTCTCTCTCTCTCTCACATGTACAACACAACACAACACAATACATATACGACACCTGTCCTCTCGACACTCGATCTTTTTCCATTTCTGCGAAAAAATCAGAGAAACACTTTCGCAATCGTGGCAATATTCGCTGTCAATATTCATGGGACTTTTATTAGCATAGAGCGGTTGTAAAGCAAAGTGACGAAACGAGGGAATGAAATTCTGTTAATCATTGCGTGCATGATACATTGACCACGTGACAGCAGTCTTTTTTTAGGGAGAAACATGTACGGTTGAAAGAGAAAAATTTGAGCGCGTACTGGTTCTGTTATTCAACGATTGGATGAGATTCAAAACTCTGTATTCGAGTTTCAAAGCTCGGATATTAGGTGCATATTTTGAACTGTACTCCAATTTCGGCAATATGCCAAAGGTTAAGCCTAGCTGTGCTTAGCCTGTCACGCTTGTCGATGCAGACTTGACTAAAATTTGACTCACCGAGAATTCCGAATATTCCATCGAATTGACAATTTTCCTCGTTCCAAGGTACCAAAGTACAAATGTGTTGCAAACGTTGTAGGTGATAGTTGAGAAGGCACCAAAGGCAAAGATCAGTGATTTGGATAAACAAAAGTACCTGGTACCATCTGACCTTACTGTCGGTCAGTTTTACTTTCTAATCCGCAAGAGGATTCATTTACGTCCAGAAGACGCCTTATTCTTCTTTGTCAACAACATCATTCCTCCAACAAGTGCTACTATGGGTTCTCTTTATGCGGTAATTAAGATGAATTATTGATATTTAAGATAAAGGATTTTGCAAGCAATATATATTAGGTAGAATAACTCAAATTATTTCTAATTACTTATGTATATTTTTATTGAAATTTTATCAGGAACATCATGAGGAAGATTTCTTCCTGTATATAGCCTACAGTGATGAAAATGTGTATGGTAACTAAATCTTCTGAGACAAGCAAATTGCCAAAACAAAAAAAAAGGATTCAACTGCAAAAATCGACCATCTCAACGTAGTCCTCATAGACGCTTTCGAAAGTGTATACCAAAATTACATCTATCAAATACACTATGTGTAAAAATTTATGTCTCAACGCTACACACTACATTTGCTTCTACAAGGCATAACTGTTCACATAACTGTCCCTTAACGATAAAAAAAGAAGTAACTCTTCTCGATTCCATTCTTTCTCTGTCACCTGAGAGGGCTTAGGTCACCACTGTAGGTTGTAAGAACAATTAACCCATGAATTATGTGATCGTATGTAATACTTAGTCATTGGAGAAGCATTGGCCATTGAAGAAAAACTGAGAAAAATGAAAAAAAAGAAGAGAACAATTCTTTGTATCGCTAAATTGTGCTGGGATATTCCTCTGTTCATTTATATGTTATGTTTTAATGCACATTATTCCCTATTCTGTAAGTTCATTGTGTATTAAAAATTTTGAATATTTTGTAGATAACACATCAGAGTTATATGAGTGTAATGTCATCCTTGATTTAGGCTAGCATTATTCTTTTACATTATTGTATCATTTGAACATGAGAGGAAAAAAACGAAAACGTATTGTTGGATATGCAAGGGAGAAAATTTTGTGTAATGGCTGGATGTAAAGCCAATAAAAAAAGTTAAAACGTGATTGACCATCCGAGTATATATTTTCTCTCTACCTTCTTTTTATTCGTAGAGATATTCCCTTGATCTCACGTCCACTGACACCTTCCTCCTGATAGAAGACACTGACCTGATTGGTTGCTGACAGAAACGACATATCTATTCCAATACCAATGTCAGAGCTTTCGTCCATGCCTCTTGAATTGTTAACTTGTTTGTCGCGAGCGAACGCTGCGTGTTCTAACGTGTATAACGACGAGGAACGGCCAAGTTCGACAGTCGACTCGTTCCTGTCAATCGAGCAGTTTGGACACCATGGAAGACACTAGTTACGAGAGAAACTATACAAACATTACTGTTGTTAGATATGTCAGTTCGATGTATAATCTGAGTCAAGAGGATAGCAACTGGATCGTCACGAGCTCCTTTATGATCTTTACGATGCAGACAGGTAAGATCGAAAATAACAATTATTCGCCACATTTCGTCAGAACACAAAAATGATACCTACGATGCTTGTTCGTTTCACGTACAACCCTGCAGGTGATGAAACGCTCTCACGCAAACTTCGTTTTCGACAGGTTTCGGCATGTTGGAGTCCGGTTGCGTCTCCTTGAAAAACGAGGTCAATATCATGATGAAGAACGTGGTCGATATTGTGCTAGGCGGACTGACCTATTGGTTCTTTGGATTCGGATTCAGTTTCGGCTTGAAGGAGCCCAACAACCCCTTCGTCGGCAACGGAGGTCTGTTTATAGATCCTCCCATCGAAGACGAACACATGGGTGCGATTTGCGCCGCGTTCCTGTTTCAGCTGAGTTTCGCCACCACTTCGACGACCATCGTCAGCGGTGCTATGGCCGAACGGTAATTGATTATATACACAGACAGAATCGCGCAATGGTTGAAAACAATCGCTGTAGCCGCCCCCCAATGCATCCTGGCGAATCGTTTCCAGGTGTAATTTCAAGGCCTATTGCCTATTCTCGTTTCTCAACACTATCGTGTACTGCTTGCCAGCCGGCTGGGTCTGGGGTGATCACGGTTTCCTGAATCGCATGGGAGTCGTCGATATCGCTGGCTCGGGACCGGTCCATCTAGTCGGCGGTGTTTCAGGTAGTTCTTCCTCGTCGTTAAAGATAAGACCTATTGATTATTGCACTGCAATCGATCAACTTCGCGTGACGAAAACACGTCTACTCACGTCCGGCAATTTCGTCGCAGCGCTCGCTTGCGCCATCATGCTCGGTCCCAGAATAGGCAGATATGACAATGGCATCGATCCTCTGCCGCTCGGATGTCCCGTCAATGCGATCATGGGACTGTTTGTCTTATGGTAAAGAAAGAATTCAATTGCGATTGTGTGTACATTACATTACTGTGGACGTGCTGTGCTGGTGCGCAGCAGGATGCTTGAACGACGGTACAATTGTGTGAATACTCAGGTGGGGCTGGTTGGCCTTCAACAGCGGTAGTACTTATGGGGTGACCGGCGAACGATGGCAGTACGCCGCCCGTGCAGCAGTTTCCACAATGATGGGCAGCATGGGAGGCGGTATGGTCGGGCTGGGATTCAGCTTGACAAATCCGAACGGAATCGACATCCTCAGCCAGATAAACGGCATCTTAGGCGCACTTGTGGCGATTACCGGTATATGTCTGATGAACAATTGCGAAAAATAGCGATAACTGCTTCCTGCTGGTAGGATTTCTAAGCACTCGTCTCCACATTTGCGTTAGGTGGTTGCTTCTTATATACAGCTTGGGAATCGATAATCGTCGGAATGGTAGGCGCTTTTATTACGTGCACCGTGATGCCGGCGTTAGATAAGATTCGCATAGACGATCCTGTGGGAGCAGCCGCCACTCACGGTACGTAATCCTTGTAATTATTGAGTAACGACTCTTTCCAAAGGTACAACTCAAACGTTAAAGAGAGATCAGAGTCTTTACCGTAGAGAAGTTGTCGAGTGCGCACGAGTGTAACTATATGTATCATGTAAAGCAATTATGTAACAACAATCAGACACCGATGTTTCGATCAATCACGAGCGACCCTCTCTCTTCAATGATTTTACTTTCAATGATGTCAATGATACGAAATCATGTTCCGCCGAAGAAGTCAAGTTGAACACAGTAAAACAAAGATTTTAAACGCATAATTGTGCGACACGAATTTGCATACGAAACACAACACTAACACGTTACCGGATTGTATTTTAAACCAAGCCGAGTAATTTCTCTATCCTTGCAAACGACTATTTATGCCGAAACAACGTGCGTGCATGCATGTGTGAGAAATGTGAGCGTGGACAATAGTGAAAGTAATTAAATGCGCACGTGCGATAACGAGCGATGATCGTTCGTTTGAAATACAGGTGCAAGTGGCATCTGGGGAGTCGTAGCTATCGGCTTGTTTGCCGACGATCCATACCCCCTTGACACTACCAGTGGAAGAAAGGGTTTGTTCAAGGGTTCGTATACGACGATAACTGCGCAAATCTGACTATTCGTTCGTCTCACTTCACTCGACGATTCTTTTATCAATTATCAGGAGGTGGGTGGTATCTTCTAGGAGTACAGAGCTTGTCCGCACTCTGCTTATCAGCTTGGAGTTTTTTCAGTTCGATCATATTGTTATGGGTAAGACGTCGGACTAGACTTTTACTTTATTAACGGTCAATATCAAATGTACAATAAGAAACATCCGCTTTCTTGTAGATCATAGACAAGATTATACCGATTAGAATGTCGGTCTACGAGGAGGTTCTCGGGGCGGATCTCGTGGAACATGGGATACGTCATACGAAGGTGCGAATTTTTTCTCTACGGTACATTCAGTTCTTCGTTTCTCGAATCTTCTCATTTCTTCTTATTATTTATTCTTCATTATTCTTCAATTTCGATTATCCGACTTATTTTGTACGAAACGCAAATGCGCGTTTGTGCAGATAGGCGTTAGTCGCGCCATGTCGGCGTTTCGACCATTCAGTATGGAAAAGAGACTGAGGGCGGTACATCCTGTGGGCATAAATCCCGGTGAGATGAAGATATATATCTCTATTTCTCCGATCCAAAGTATCTCACTACTGACGACACGTATTACACGTTACAGGTCACGATTCCTACGTTTCTCAGTTGAAGCTCAAGAAAGCTGAAAATTTTGCAAAATCTGCTAAACGACAGTCGTCGAAGAAGCTGGTGACGAGGAATTCTCAGATTAAAACGATCGCTGGCTCGGAGCTGTCCACAGAGGCGAAATTGCCGTTCGCCTGGGTGAATTGAAAAAATTAAAGCAAACACGGGAGAACAACTCGCTACAAGATTTATATTAATACTCAGTCGGATGTAAATTTATTACAAATGTATAAACGTATACATGTGCACGTTCTACATATATTTCAATGTTCACACATTCACGCCAATAAATATCGATCATACACACATACGCGCACATACACACGACATAGAGATAAAAAATGGATATGATAAATAGGTCAGAAAGAAATTGAACTTTTACATGATAAAAGAAAGAAACGTTTTACACGATACATTGTCTGTGGCACGGGCATTGTTTTCGGTTTAATAGCTAATCGTCCGTGGCACTCGACGACAAAGTGCTTATATATTAATTATGCATTATTCATAGGAAATAAAATATTTCTATAAATATTTATATATTCTCTATCAATAGCTTTATATGCCGGAAATGATTATATCGAAAATGTTCTACTTCGTATATACGTCTGTTAGCAGGAACTGTCCCTGAAGACCAACCACATTTAGTACATATTCACAAAATACCATTTCCTTTTACATCAGACCTTGCATATTATAAGAATATTTACAATTTCATTATTCTTTCGTGTCGTTCAGAACGAGAGTCGTTAGTCCTGAACAATGGACATTTTAGAGAGTTCGTAAATTATAGATTCGGTAATTACTGCAAAATGGGAATTGGATATATATGTGTGTGTGTGTAGGTGTGTGTGTGTGTGTGTGTGTGTGTAAGAATGGAAGATTCGTAAGCACTTTTGAAATGTATAAGACTATATCACACGTTCTTGGAGGGCATATTTCGTTTTCATGGCGTTTGTTAATTAAAAACATGAATATACACGTACTGGGTATGCACAATATATGATTACGTCTGATATAGAAAAAAATGTACTTAAGTATATTGTTTTTTCTTTTCTTTTTTTTTTCTTACTACTCTAAACTAAGTACTTTTTGTCTATTGATGTAATAGAAAACATCTCAATGTTTAAGTTTGTTCTACAAGAACGTTACTATGATAGAAAAAAAATGTACTATATAACTTTGTAGAACACAATAGGTTGGGTGTATGTGAACTCGCGAGCACACCGTTATTATATACTACTCGACGCCCACTGAGAAACTTCCGTAGGAAGACCCGAATAATTTTTCACAGCCTCCATAACTTGCTTCGATGTCAATGTGAATTTATAATATTGATACTCCTTCTCGACTCTCATATTCGAATTTCCAACTGGTAATAAAATCTCCAAGTTCTAAAGAATACACACGTTACTCAATTTCTCAATCCGTGCGTGTATTGTTAATGAGAAAATAATATTACCATAAAAGTGTCTCTTACCTTGATGTGCTCGAAAGCTTTCATGATCACCGGCTTCTGGACAGATTGTATGGAGGAATTCTGATTTGCGAATTTGATGTAACGATTGTAAATCGTCTCGAAATTCAACGGCTCGTCATCGTAAATTTCTGTCTCCTGTTTCATTGCTATTATCTGTAAAAAGATTTTTATAGATTTTTTTATTATCAAGCGTATAAGCATATATCCAGGCTTGGAGAAGTTCCTTCATGAAAATATTTTGTTATCGTTACTTCGAATAATAATTTTTTAACATTGTTACTATTTAAAAAAATAATTATTACAATTTTCGTCATTTTGCTGACGAAAATAAAAATAATGTCATATTTTTCAATATTATTTGTACCACACGACGATATTGAAAAATTAATATACCTACCAAGCACATTTCTAAAATGGACAATCCTTCGAGCATCAGCACCTTGTCGTCCTGCGAGAAGATCTTATTCGCCTCCACAAAATCATTCACTTCTAATTTCTGATGTTTCTCGGACAACGTGGAGACAGCCACTGCGAGAAAATTTCTAAAACGCCTCTCGCTCACATCGATATGATACATTCTCTTCAGCAGATTCACCATCGTAACGTTAGTAGTCAGACTCTTAATGTACTCATTCCACATAGAACCGAATTGTGGATCTATCGTGCAATCGTCATATTGCTGTTCTATTTTATTTACATTCTCGTCATCAGGTAAGCTTAGAAGATGCTGAAAGAGTTCCAGGCGATCGTCGAATGCGGACATGGGTTGTTCCGCAGATATGTCGCCGGGCAATAGGTATATCTGACGATACGAGAATCGCGACTTTACTCGCTTCTCCAGCAACTCTATGACGTCTAATCTACAAGTTATTCCTAACACGCATATTGGAACCTGCAGTGTGAATATTTCTTATTCATATCAAATGTTTACATAATCTTCGCAGGATAATAATATTCAGATGTTTACCTGTGCCGATTGAGCAACATCAAACAAATTATATAACAGTGTCTGATTGTGATGCTCACAAAATAAATCGAATTCATCGAGTATGAAGATTACTGGCTTGGAGTGTTTCTTATCACCAGATTTTAAACATTCCAAGAGGAAGCACAAATTTTCCGCAAAAGTACCGAAAACCTTATCACCAACGACGTTTTCCAATTGCATCTGACGAGTCGTATCTTTCAGCGCCAGTCGGTCGTCAGTATGAACTAATCCATGAAGATTCACTATCAATGCATTGTCCTTAAAGTTCTTCAAAGCTGACAATTCCTTCAGAACGCTGTTAACAAGCTAAAATTATACAAGTGATTTGTCGGTATTCATTGTATATATATTGCTTTCACATGGAGATTTTAAACAAATGATTATACCGTTGTTTTCCCACTACCTCTAGGCCCAATTAACAATGCAGAATTACTTTCACCCATTTCAACGGTACATTTTATTAATTCCATTACATATAGCCGTTCCTTAGCATGATGTCTAAATTTGGTTTCAGGACACATTATTTTACGTTTTAGGTACTTTCGTGTAAGCAATATCATGTTGTCCTGGAAGTCAATTGCCATATTTTTCTTCTTACTCATTTTTTTTTCTCGCTACACAAAACCACCACTAGACTGGAAGGCCTGGAAATAATTGAATTTATTAAAATATGATAATAAATATAAACTTTTATACTGGGTAATATTCCTTGAAATTGTTCATAATTCCAACATTATATATTAATATCACTATAAATGTTTTATAATTATGTTACAGTTATATATGTAAGTATGATGATTATATATTTCTTTTCATTTATCCTCGCACAAGAACGGGGGGATATACGATATTTATATAAATACAACATATATTCGATGTGGTAGAAAACATAACCGCTAACAGCTAGCATGCGAAAAAGCGAAAATCGATGACAGGAAAAATATATTTTTTGTATTAACTTGGACAAACCTTTGGGATTAAATATTTAATCGATTATTCAGCCACGATGTCGTGTACCCTGATGCGAGAAATAACAGTGCTCAAGTAATGAAAAAATAATCACTGGCCGAATAGACACTGGTGGATGATGTTTACGAAACAAACATGGATGACGCAGTGCAACAGCCAGAGAAGAAGAACTGCACTTTTTTATTTAAAAGACGCAAAATCAGAAGCAACGCTACGAGAAAACGGAAAGGAGCGGACGGCAACGACGGTAAGCCGCTATACAAATATCGATTTGGATGTGAGCTACTTATAGACGTCGCGCTTCAATTAGACAAATTTGGTCGTGCAAAAGTTATAGGTTATGATGTACAAGTAAATATTTCGCATTGTGGGTCAATGATTCCGTTAATTTTTTCATAGATAGCAGCGAGGATGAGACTACAGTGATTAAGAAAGAAAAGAAGCAAGATGATAACAACCCTATGATACAAAGTGTGAGTTTTGCAACATTACAGTAGCACATAACCTAATCTGTTACTTTTGACATTTACTTTTATTTGACTAAAATAATATAACATCAAATCTGATATCTCTTAAACGTGCTGTTTGTTCCTCTAGACAAATGTGAAGAAACATCAAGAGAAAACCAGTTATGATAATGATAGCGAAGATGACAGTGTAACTGTCTCTTATAAAAGCAACAGAACTGCTTTGCCAGCTGGTCCAAGTGACCAAGGAGCAACAGCTATTCTGGAAACAGAAACAGAGAAAGATAGAGATGCGCAAGCATTATTCGAAAAAGCTCAAAAGATAAATGAGGTATATTTTGAATAAATGACTTATCAGGTATATCGACTGAACTTAAGACATGATTCGTTTGTAGAAACAATATGAATATCATTTATTTTTGTTCATCAGGAACTAGAAGGAAAGGAGGATGACAAGGTTTACAGGGGCTTGAATAATTATGTACAATATTATAAAAAGAAAGATACAGCAGCAGGAAATGCATCTAGCGGGATGGTACGTAAAGGACCAATTAGAGCACCGTCTAATCTCAGGGCAACAGTAAGATGGGACTATCAGCCTGACATATGCAAAGATTACAAAGAAACTGGTTTTTGTGGTTTTGGAGGTATGTGTCGACATAATTTAATTGCTTCTCCAAGTAATTCTCTAAACCTTTACAGTCATTAACATAAATTTCCTATACTTTTTTTAGACAGCTGTAAGTTTCTTCATGATCGTTCGGATTACAAATTAGGATGGCAGTTAGAAAGAGAAGCTGCCAGCGGAGAGTACAACAGTGGAGATGAGGACGATAAAAAATACGAAATTGATAGTGATGAAGATAATTTGCCGTTCAAATGTTTCATTTGTCGAAATAGTTTTACAGATCCTGTTGTAACAAAGTTTGTGTCGTCAACAAAGTATTCTCAATCGCTCAGTTCTTCAGCATACACGATTAATCTACTAATCTACTGTATGTTTTAGATGCAAGCATTACTTTTGCGAAAAATGTGCTTTGGAGCAATACAAAAAAAGCACACGATGTTACATATGTAACGCTCAGACTAACGGCACTTTTAATCCAGCGAAAGAACTTATTGCACGAGCCAAATTGGAGGATAAGGAAAAAACGGCCGCAACAAGCGAGGACTCCGATGATGATTGATAAAATTAATACAATTCCAGTCTTCATACATAGATACAGCGATCCTGCCTGCATACGTGTAATTTAACACACAAATAATATTGTAAATCGTAATGATTTTAAGGTACTGCGAATATCTATATATAGGTTGCCTCAAGAACAGGTTATCAACAGTATTCGTATAAAACGGTTATCGGTGAGTGAATTTTCAACTATATACTTTTGCGTTTTTCGTTTTACGGCAATGTCTTTCGCAGAAAAACGCCGAATTTGTATCGTAAATACGGCGGACCAATAAAGACATCAATATGCGTATCTTGTACGTGACAAGCGTAATGTAGCTCTCTTTTGTATTCATCTAACTTAGTCGTGTGGTGTGTATATTTATAGCAAGTAGTTTTCAGGTCAAGAGCAACATCTCTTTGCGCAGCAGAGAGAGAGAGAGAGAGAGACAGACCACGACGGTACAATCTTCGTTTCTTAAAAAATATAATTAATATCGGGTGTCACGTGCACGTACACGCGCGCGCGCGCAGGCAGGCAGAGAGAAGCCCGCGCGCGCCGGTCGAAGAGCGAACATGCCACCTCGTAGTGGCCGTCGAGCGTCGCGACGCGAATCGATACGCGCGCAGGCGGCGTCAGTGCGTGGCGGCACGACCGTGTTGTTTCTCCCAGTATGTACTACGTGCTCTGAAAATGTCACCGAGTCGATCGTTTTTCACGAGCTGCTGCTGCCGGCGAGCGTACGTAGTGTCCTCGCAGTCGTGGCGGCATGCAATCGCGATATAGAGTTGTCCGCAAGATTAAAAAGTAACCGCGGTGTGACGTCTCGTCAAGGGGCAATCTCGTCTCGCAATCTCGCATTCGGCCTCGCGACCGATCACCGCCTTCTCCGCCGTCCTACCGCCACCGCATTGATCCCTGACAACCCGGAAAGATACGTGCGAACAAAACACGCGACGAGGAAGAGTCTCTTGCTTCGGATCGCATGAATAAGCACGGATAAGCCGAACGGATAAATGTGAAGTCCGAATTGTGTGTTTGTGTGTGCGCGCGCGCGCGCGCGTGTATATGTAGGTGACACGGTGATTCGTATCGCGCAGGATTTAACGCAAGATTACACGAACGACCGGTGACGGTTGCGCTGGTTGTCGTAGGTCTCGGCTGCCGTGACACAAGTAGATATTGTCAAGTATATCAAGATACAATCCCGTCGAGTAGATGGGGAAGTAATCTTCCTTTCTTTCTTTCTCTCTCTCTCTCTCTCTCTCTCTCTCTCTCCCTCCCCCCATCCCTTTCTCTCTTTCTGTATGTATGTTATCTATCTATCTATCTATCTGTCTATCTCTCCATCACTATCCTGTTCTCCGTCTTTGAAAAATCGCTCACGATATTCGTTCATACACGTTGTTATGTAAATATCAAGAGAGATTGAGTGCCGACTGTGCCGATATGCAAAGTCTCGTCAGTGCGAAGCTCGCCACTCGACGTGGCGGAGATCTCGCGTCATTTCGCGCGCGACGAAATTTTCGTGATATCATTATGCAAAATCATTATGCGCGATTCGCGCGTTTGATTGGCCGTGCTTCTATCAACGATATACGCGTGTAAAGAAGCGGGCTTGACGAGCCATCGATAGTAGCGGCCGTTGACGAAGAAACGAGCTGCCTCGCGACGGGTGTTGAATAAAACAGCAGACCCGGTGTCAGCGTGAAAAGCGTCGGAGGCCGTGGAAGTTGTCGCCTCCTTGCGCTCTACGTCGACGGTGATGCTCTCAATCGATAATCCGACCGCCACGATTCACCAGCGTCGTCATCGAGGACGTTAATCGAGCGGAGTTAAGACCAGAGGCTGATCGCCGGGATTTCTATCCGACGGTGAAATCTGCGGGACAAAGAGAGAGAGAGAGAGACGCAGCATTATCATTGGGAAGGTGCAGTATTTTACGGCGACTCCCTATCAACCAGGTATGTAATTTACACGTGACGCGATAAGGACTCGAGATATGCGACTCTAATGACATTAATTTACGCGCGAGCGCGTCGTAGAACGGCCCGTGCGTATTTTTGTTCTTGTCGACCGCGCCTCTTCTTCGATACCTTCTTCGGTTAGCCGGCGTGCACGATTTAATTTCGCGATTTCGGGCGTGAGAAATACGGGGGCAAAATTGTAACCACAGTCTGGCCGAAACGATGGACTCTCTTTCGTCCCAATTGCAGTTTCTTCTCGTAAACGCGCGTCGCGATAAACGCGGCCGCGCGCGTGTTATTGTTAATTTTACGACAAGTGCTCGACGGCGTATTTTCGGCGCGGTTCCTCAGCCACGGTAATTGCCGATGAACTCTCGTGCACCAGTGCGTGCCCAAGAATAAGCTTCTTTATAAATTGCACGTCCCGCGGTTCCCTCTGTTACGCATAGCGCATCACCGCTTGGCTCGAGCTGGTCGGCCGCACATTTGTCTATGGACATTGCGTCGCCCCCACGTGCGACACGTACGTAGATACGTGCATGTCGACGGCGTAACGCCCGAATATGACGATAATAAGCGCACCAATTGCGTTGGCTTGTTAAAACATAGTCCAAGCTGACTATTATTAGATCTGAATACATCAGATGTTATGTGTCACAACTTGATCTTGGAATGGATAGGTGATTTTTGCACTTATAAGTGGACGCCGACCAAAATGGATCGTCGCTGTAGCACAAAGGTCCAATGAAATTACACAGTTATGACACGCTTCATTGTAATGCATAATTTTACATAAGAGTATCAAAGTTACCGATATAGTCTGATAAGATAAGCGAGAGAAATTTAGCATCTTCTGAGCTAATGTACTAGCTCAGTATCCATTCCAAGGTTAATATTGCTATTGGAATTACTTGAAGAACTTTCAGCTTTACATACAATGTCGGGTTGAAAATCGTACATATAGAAAAAAAAATATATATATATACTGCTTTCGAGTAGATACTGCTTTCGAGTATTTCATAAATTTATTATGTATTCGTAAATCTATCGTATGTTCATCAGAAATGTCAAATTTACTCAAAGATTTAAAGTTCTGGACTCTAATAAGTTTAGTACTTCGAGAATATTCAGTTTGTTTCCTGTATAAAACATGAGTTTTTAAATATTAAAAAAAATTTTCTTTGTTAAAAGTAACTGATTCCTAAAAGAGGCAAATTAAACTGAGCACGAAACATTCTTAGCAGTAAAAGCAGAGTAGCGATATTTTTTTCTGCATAAATGCCTTTGATAAAACGCATTGACTGACACGCAATCTTGTGCCTTGTACCTAACAAGAAGCGACTCGATTTACGTGACGCATATCCATCTCCGAGCGACATTGATATCGCCAGATCCTCTTCGCTTACTAATGCGAACCACTCGAGTATTATAATTGTACGGAGCGTCCCGGACGCGCGCGCACGCGAATCCCTGATGCGACTTGCCGAGTCGATTTCTCCTCGGCGAAAATGTCACAAGGTGTCATCCATCATTCGCTGCAACTTGCCCAATTTGCAACGTTGAGTTTCTTGGCAAACAAGAGCGCAAACTTTGAGAAGGAGATGTCGCCCGCGCAGACATCTGAAATAAAAATCGGATATAAAATATCTTTCCTCCCAACCCACATGGATTCGCGCTTGCGAACACTTGCTTCTCGAGGAACATTTTTAGCGGGACGTAAACGTTCCTTCAAGTGAAGTCGAAGTTTCGCGAAGAAACAGAATCCCTCTCCGAAGCATCTTGGAGCTTTGCCATTTCGGGATTGAACCCGCGTGCGCATTTGTCCTGCATAATGTTCGTGTAAGGGCAAGTACGAGATGCTAATTCGCCCGCCGTCGCGGTCGCCGCGACAGCAACGACGGTGTCGCGTTGCAAAAATAACCAACGATGTGGAAAATAGAGAACTACGAAAACGCAAGTCGCGCACGGCCGTGACTGTCGGCGGCGACATTGGCGCGCGAGGTTGACACGTGCGCCGCGTGTATGCACCGCGGTGGTGCATGCACACTCTCGCACTCGCAGCCGGCGCGGTGAGCACGTATCTGTTTCTCGGTGTGTGCTCACACGTTGCGCTCGGAAAATACGGAAATACATGATGCACCACCGCCGAGTCGCGTAATTGCTTTCGGATCGATGAATCGTTCGTGTGTTCGCGGTCGCGTCCGTTTCGCAAAAATGCACCGACGCGTTTCGAAAGTCTAACTGACAATAAGAAAATCGCGAGGAGACCGCGACATTCGGATGTCCGATCGTGCGTGTGTGTGTGTGTGTGTTTGAGCTCCTAAGTGTAAATTACAGAAAGCTGTATACCTCGTGCGGTCGTATGCAATCCATGCGGAAATCGATGAATTAGCATGGTATGTGTGTATATGTGTGTGTGTGTGTGTGTGTATGCACAGATTCAGGAAAGAGCCTGTGATACGCGTGCTGCGGCCGGTCGCATTAATTCCGGGAATTAATCAGCCTTGGCGGAACGCGACCTCCGCATGTTTCAATGTGCGGCTTATGAACGCTGCATTACCGCCGCGAAATGCAAGTGCACGCGAAAGCCGCTACCCGCTGGCGCCCGATAGCCCGGCTAAGGTCAACGATAGGCAAGGCTGTATATCCGCATGCAGGATGTATGAGTCAAAGGACTGCGACGTAGGTACGGCAATGCGATGACGTGTGTGTATGCATGTCGTGCCAATTACCTGCGGAAAAGAAAAGTAATCGTTACATCGTCGCTAGACTCGAGAGTTTTCCGATTTGGAAAATCCTTGAGAGAACGATACGATACATACACAAAAAGATATATACATATATATATATATATATATATATATATCAAGCCAATGTCACTTGTTTCAAGTATTCCACAAGTTTAAGTATTCGCGAGTCTCTCATAAAAGCTGTGAGTAATTATTGTTCATCGATAAAATCTTGACTCATCTGATTGGAGTTCAGAGAGATTTTTATCGATCCACTTGAAGCGAATGATGAGTTTGACGCGCGCACCGCTTGTGTATGATTCGACCGATCCGTCATCGCGATTTCTCGGCCGAGATCCGCGAGAAACGAACGCCAATGCAAATACTCGCTTATCGGCGACGCTCGAAGACGTTGATGATAAGCTCGAGCGAATGTCGAATATCTATCACTTGTCGCCGCGAATATCGTGCACCGTGGTCAGTGAACCGCGTGGGGCCATACGCTTATAAGCAGAAACATGACGCACGCTTTTCCACGCACGTGCACCACGCGAGATAAGTTCCTTCGAGCCGCGAGCGAAGCCATGATCGAGCGTGCCGCTTGATGCACGCACACACACAAACACACACGCGCACACACACACACACACACACACACACACACACACACACACACACATACACACACATACGTGCTTTCATCGCCGCTCCGTTTCTTCGCGCTTCGTCGGAAATTGCTGGTTTAACATTATATCGATAGCCTCGGTTAAACGAAGCGTCGCGGAAGCAAATAAAAAGCACGGAACAGTTCGTGTGCGCGATGACGCGCGTCGTGTATGGAGCGGAACGGCGCTGCGGATCTCTCCCGCAAGAGAGCAATCTCTCTCCTGTCCCTAGGAGTCGCTACTGCGATTCTTCCTCGAATGTTTGTCGGAAACTTCCGGCTCGACGTATCCTCGACAGTATCCTCAATATTGATTCGACTTACGTGTCCGTCTTTATCACGACTTGAATGTGCGCGCTTTATCTTATCTGCGTCATACACACACAGCGCGGCCTATCACGGATCTCGGCTGCCACCGTGTGTATGCGAGTATTGGGTATTCAAGTTCAATTCGCCGGAGATACTCACCGGGCGGATCTGCTTTATTAATTACGCACAATTACCTGCCACGGGGCCTGGAGCGAAGAGAGATTGTCGAATATAATTATCGCGTAACACATGAAGGACGTATTAGTGGGCGGTATTAACGAGAGGATCCCTCGCGTTAATTGCTCATTATCGCCATTATCTTGCTTCCAGATGGTTTCTGGCAGTGATGCCCTCATCGGAGGAGGAAAGCCAGTGGCTTGTTGGCAGTGGTGGCGGCGGCCTCGCACCCTCCGGCGGCAGCGCGACGAAAACAGGCGGCGGCGAACGCATTCTCAACACTAGAACCGGTCTCTACACCGAGGAGATGACGACGCAACCGGCGAGCGTCACCACGGCCGGCGTGAACTCGGCATCGGCTGATTCCGCGGAGCACGATCTCATCGACTCCACCGCGGACGCGACTCTCCTGGCGCAGTTCCACGAGGATGCTATAAAACAGGTGATGCCATGACTATCAAACGACTATCGTGCGTGCGGAACCCTCCCCTCTCTTCCCAGGTAGAACAGAAAATCATGATGACGTCAAAATGATGAGAAAATGACCGAATCATGATGAAAAACTGAGAACTTTCCTCAGAGAACAGAGAACTCCCTCATCATATTAACGTCATTTTAATGTCATCATGATTTTCTCTTTTGCCTGAGTTGAGATTAGGTTAGACAGAGGAGTTAACCTTTTCGACAAAGCAAAAGTCGCGATTGTTTGTTTCAGTAGCATTGACTCTTTACTAGCTAATAAAAAATCGATGTCCTTACCTTATCCTTTTCTTTTTTTACAACAAAGCACTAAATTCTCAGTTTCTCGAGAAATCATCAAAACAGGCATCCCGAATCGACCAACCGATTGAGAAAACGCAACTTTGCGATGTGTTTCATAGTTCTTATAAGATATTGAAAATTGAACTTTATTTATTTCTCGTTTATCTTTCGTTGGAAAAATAAGCATTAAAAAAGTTACCTCTATTCTCTTGTGCAACAGCGGCCATGAATATTTTCAAATACTAACGATTCTCGAAACGTGCATCGAAGTGACATCGACATGTGTATCGAAACGCGTACTGATCCAACGATCGATTTCTGAGATCATACCAATGATAGAATTTTAGATTTGAATAGTGCCACTTTATTGGCTATCGGGAATGATCAGTCGCGGAGCGTCGAGTACAGAATGCAGAGTATAATAAAAACATAACCTAGACGAAATGGCGTCGTTTTTTGTCAGACCGTTTGCTCACAGTGAATGACCACTCTGTTTCTCACAAGTCCGAATCCTTTTTACCTTAGCAAGATGGAGGACGTCCTGGACGAGTCGATTGTTAAACCGAAATATGTACCACGCGAGGTACCAGGCTATTTAAAGGATTTCCCAGTAAATATTCCTCATTTGACACTTCAGTGGCAGTGGTGGTGGTAGCGATTGTGTTCGACTGTCTCGCAGTAAACACTTCCATTTTTCATTTCAAGAAAAAGACAAAATTATATTGGACAGTGTCAGAGTAACATAACGATGTCTTTGTAATGTTGCAGGCTGGAGTCGGTTACTTCCAGATATTTGCTGCGTTCTGCACAGGCTTGAGTCTTGCTGCGGATACCGTTGAGTTTTTCGTTGTTCCTTACATACTACCAAGTGCAGAAGTTGAGCTGTGCATTGAAGACAGTGAAAAAGGATGGCTCGGTTAGTTATCATTGTTGCAATTCTGTTGTCTCTAAACTTCTGTCTCACTGACGTGATATCAATATCATGTTGCAGGTAACATTACTCTTGTTGGTCTTGCATTGGGTGGATTATTCTGGGGTGGTCTTGGAGACAGACTAGGGAGACGTAGATCTCTCTTGTCTGCTATGTCTGTACATGTTTTGTTCAGTAGTGTCGCAGCATTTATGCCTACCTACGGTACTTTTATGACAGCTAGATTTTGCTCAGCTATTGGGTAAGCTACTTCTTTTCATTTTGTGCACAATTCGCTCCTCAATCAATTTATTTTATATTGACATTTCTTCATGTTGTATTTTTCATGTTGTATTTTACAGAGTCGGGGGAAGTGTACCATTGGCGTTTGCCTATCTTGCGGAATGCTGTCCACGGTTAAGCAGAGGCCGTTGGACAGGAATTCTCGTGACAGCTGGAGCCCTTGGAGGTGTTTATGCTGCTCTCTTGGCATGGGCAGTGGTACCCACAACAGGAGAAATGGTTGTTCTTGAAAATAAGGAACATTTCAGTGCCTGGCATCGTTTCCTGTTGCTGTGTTGTCTGCCGGCATTGTGTTCCACGATTGGTCTCATCTTTCTGCCGGAAAGTCCAAGGTATCTCGTAGAGGCTGGTAGAGATGTGGAAGCAATGATGGTTTACCAGGTATGCACAACACAACCAAGGACAATTGATTTTTCTGACTTTTATGATGCATTCTCCTCTGTATCGTTTACAATAATTTAATATTTCTCAGAGGATATATAAAAAGAATAATGCACGAAAAGGTGCAACAGGTGCTCAATATCAGCTTTCTGAACTGGAACTCCCAACTAAAAGACCTCGTGGTTTGGCACCACCTTCTCCGAGCAATCACACCAGTGTTCTGGCCGACATAATATATTCGATCGAAATGGTAAATACCGGCGAACGCAGTTACCGATCACGCAAATTAATATTCCAACAATAATATTGGATTTGCTATTTATGCTTAGTTTTGGAATTCTTTCCTGGAGTTGTTCACGACACCTCATTTACGTGTGACTATGGTCCTGTTGACTATTTGGTTCGCCGCTTCGTTCAGGTGAGTTTTTAAATATAAATATTCAAATATCTACACTATTACTATGATTAAGAATACACGAAAACTCACTTCATTTATGCTGCGTTCAGCCTTTACGGTCTGATGATATGGTGCCCGGAATATCTGAAACTCTTACGAGCAATTGAATACGAAGCACACACGGAACACTTTCACAGAGTGTATTTCAATGGCACAACATTTAGTGGCTCTTGGGAAAATCGTCAGTACAAAGACTCCACATTTTTGAACTGCAAGTACGAACGTCGCTCCGACGTGTGACGATAAGCGATAGAAGATAAATTCTACGATTGAAGATGCAACGACTAATTGTACTTTGTAATCTCTCAATATTTTCAGATTTACTAAGATGGTATTCAGCCATGTCGACTTTGATAACTGTACCTTCCAATCAGTAGAATTCAGTAACATTAAGTCTAGCAAGACTCATTTTAGGGACAGTGTTATTGTATATTCCAAGTAAGTATATATCAAATGTATATGTGTGTCATATATACACACAAAACACAACAAAACACACAAACACATCACTAAACGAATATATTTCGTTACAGATTTGTTGACACGGACTTATCTGCACAAGTTTTCACCAGGTGTAAATTGGAGAATAACACGGAACTGAGTTTAAGTGGGTCATGTCCGACTCTCGATCTGGACTACAATATTTATATCGAAGAAGCGTTGCATGCTCACCTCGTTGCTCAATTGGCTTTCGTGCCTGCCGCCGCACTGGCTGGTTTGGCACTTACCGTTCTCCAGCGGCCAAAATTGATCGGTCAGTGGATAATATAGACGAAGGCAACTGGTGCGATTTTCTGCTGTAACTCGTTCACTCGATGATGAGCATTTGTTCTTTGCGCTCAGGTTCCTCGCTGTTTTTCTCTTCCGTTATTGCGCTGTGTCTGATATTTATACGCAGGAACAGTTCAGCTGTTCTTGGTTTCGAGGGCGGCTTCATAGCTGTTTTCGCTGTTGGTTGGACATCGTTAACTTTGGCGACAGTCGAGAGCTTCCCTACACACTTGAGGTAATAAAACGAGAAACTTTCCATTAAAAACATTTTAAAAAATAGATATTTTTTTTCCAAGTCGTTAATGTTCGTCAAACTTGGAATAATCCGCCAAGCTTAGAAAAGTTAACGCCCGTTGACGTCATCGTGTTTTTACAGGTGTACTGGTTTTGGACTTATAGCAGCGGCAATAAGAATATCAGGACTGATAGGAACCACGATATATCAGGCATTCGTGACTGCACCGTTAATCGCGCCTGCACTATTAACCGCGCTGACGTTATTGATCGCCAGTGTTGCGACCCTTAAATTGCCTCACACTCATACGGTCTTCTTATAAGCTTTCTGTCGTCGCGGAGAAGAACGGCAACGACGTTTATTTGAAGTCAACATTTGGTTGTTGCGTATGGGGCAACGAACGGGGGAATTCGTCTCGTGAATTTGAAAATTGGATTTTCAAAAGAAAATCCCGAGTGCGTCAGAGACGGAAGAGGCAGAAGAAGCTCGTTTCCTATATTCTTAGGGTTTACTCGAAGAATGATGTTTTAAACACATGTCAATAATTTATCGATCAAAAGGAAAAGAATTTTTTAGAAAACGAGACTTTGTACAAAGTGACATATCCTAAGTAATATCAAAGATAAGGCACTGTGTTGCCTCTGAGGACACTTGCATATTTGAAGCGCACAGAACGTTTCTAACTCGGTCTTTAGCTTGTTAACGCAACAGAGTTCCCGGAGTTGGATCAAAGTACTCTCGTATCCTATCGTTTGTGAAACGTGAGATGTTCGGTAAAATCGAACGTTAAAGAGAGAAAGATTCCAAGATTGAACGATGAGATGACTGAAGTGATTTCCATACGCAAGATATTCATTCTGGAATTATACGATTATACTTCGCTGTTTTATCTTTGATGATATAAACTGTTACACAAATATCGAACAAAAGATATGGAAGATATGTACACACGATCACACATACGTACACACACATACACACAAACACACACATGTGCAACTATTTTAATAAGGCATACGCCGCCAAACGTGTCAATTTTAATGGATAGAGGATGCACACAGTCATCCGTAACGATACGTCGTATATAATAAGAAACGTAAATTAGAGAATTTTTCTGGTATATTATCGGCAGTGCAATTTGATATCTCAATTATTCGAGAGATACACGAGGCTCATAGATAGAAGCTCATACATAGCTGTTCTTACTTTCGATCGATAAGCTAAACGATAGCGTGAAACATAATGTGAAACTTCGATATCACTCCGTTATAGCTCACGGAGGAATACACCTATTCGTTTGGACGCGAAAACTCTACACAAAAATCTTCATCGTATTGCATATACGGAAATGTGTGTAGGAAACAATCGTTTTGTATGTTCTCATGAGGAAGATCTACTGGAAGAAAAATGAACATGTGAAACTCTTCACATGTTCACGCGCGGAGAACATTCCTATGAATGGGGAAGTGATCAAGCAATTATGTATTCAGTATTTCCGCTTTTTACCGATTTATTAGCATGCATTAGATCCATTAACTAGACGCTAGATTTTCGCTAATTCGATGACCGAAAGAGAGAGAGAGAGAGAGAGAGAGTGAGAGAAAGAGGAAGGAAGGGGAAGAGAAGAGGGGTAGAGAGAAAGAGAGCGAAAAAGAGAGGAAGGTATTATTCACGTAATATAAACGCTGCCGTATGAGACCTCAATTCTTATAGATAAAGACTTTCGGACAGGAAAGAGATAGATAATTCAGCTTTATAGCGTAAATCCAAGAGATTATCGCCTCTAGTCAACGTTAATCGTCTTTAAGCTTACGGTATGTTCAATTGTGAACATGCATCTGACTCTCCAGTGACACGTATATGAATGAATAACGTAAAACGTTATTTTCTACAAAATGGGAAACCAGAATTACACGTCTTCACGTATACATACATATGCATATACAGACAAAATATCATATCTTTACGGTCCACTTGGGAAAACTTTGCTGAAGTTTTACTGTCGCTGACACGATAGGCAACGGATGAGTGGCAGTGGTGAAATAATATAAACACAAAGAGTTGAGAGAAAACCTATTTGTAGGCAATAAAAACGTAAATAAGAAGTTAACGGCGATGATCCAGGAACTCGAGGGTACGGATCGTTGGATCTTCGGGGAGAATTTATCAGACAGGCAGAAGCTACTGTCGGCAGACTTAAATAGTATAAATGTTTACGTCCCATCACGGTTAGTGAATTTTTTTCATATCAAATTGTTGGCGATCGATCTATATCTATACGAGAGAGAGAGAGAGAGAGAGAGAGAGAGAGAGAGAGAGAGAGGGAGAGAGAGAGAGATGATATACAGACCGAGGTTTACAGACGTTTCAGAGAGAGAAGTAGAAACGAAAGAGGATCGTTCAATTGGCCGATCGACGCGCAAACGCTATTATTACATTCCAGCGATTATCCTGGGGATGATTTTATGTTGTTTTTTCCGCGAATGAAAATTTCAAAAACATGTAAACAGTTCGTTTCTGCTTTTAGGGAGAAAAGATCACACACACCCTCGTCGTAAACCACCTGGTCGTATCGGGCGAAGTCATGTCGGTGCCGCTGTTGCTCTACGCGAACGTCGAGACACGTGATGTCGATCAGAACTTGATGATAAAAGTAAGCATGTACGTGAAAACTCATCATTGGGACCATGTGATGCTCTTATCAGCTCTGCTTCTTTTTTTGTACATCGAAAATTGATAGACGAAGAAACGCAATCAGCGTTACGATTCGAGGTGACGACATCGGCGCCGGCCCACACACACACACACACACACACATACATACACGAATACATGCGCGCAGCCTCACGTAATTAATTCTACTCTACAACATTCAGATTTTATCATCACCTTTGTAGGTATATTACATTTTACTCGACATATCATATTTATGAGTCAGCACTCTAGATTCGTAGACCTTAGTCGAACTATTGACTAGAACACGTAGGGAAATGCGATAAAGGCGATCGTGCGAGATGACTCTCTCGAGACCAAGTTAAAGCACTGATCGAGCAGAGTGAGTCTGTCGTGTCGTGTCGCACTATTTCCCGAACTTATGTTTTTTTTTTTTTTTTAGCGAGTTACGTTTAGCCGATAGCGTGTAATGTACATTATTGTTTTGCACACAACGCGATTATCAACTGATTGAAAACGACTACGTTAGAGAAACGATGGTGCGTACGTGTACAAGGAACGAGAATATCAAATTTATCGTTTGCCGTTTCTACCGAAAATATGCCGTATACATATCACATCATATCATTATTCAGTATCAGACTGCGGGACAAGCAATCAGTTGATAGTCATTGTGTCACACAGAGAGACTGCTTCTTATTGTTAAAACTGAAAACTGTTAGAGTTAAGTTAAGGTCCTTTTTTTTTTTCACGTAAATATGTAGTCGACAATCACACCGGCACCGGAAGATTTCGGGAGGCGTTTTAATTTTTCCTTCGTAGTTCGTGTTCGATTGCCGCATTTCTGTAAGACTATCGCATCGCATAGTCTTCAGCCGTCTTTTTTCGTACATACGGGAATAGGAACGATATTTTCAAACGTGATTTTTATGTGCATGTAAAAGTCACAGTGGAGAAGAGGGAGGAGCGTACGAATGTGATGGAACACGTGTGATGTTTTTTTTTTTTTCTAATAACGTTACTGCAAAATTCATATCGTTATTTTTAGCAAATTTGAAGTAATGTGAAATTAATCAGCGTAGCAATACTGTCATACATTACGAGACACCGTCAGTCAGATACAGCCATATCGAGAATTCGTGCTCGAACATGAATCCTAATAAGGAAAGATGTCTTAAATGTCAATGTGTTATCGTTACTGCGCGACGTGTGTGTCAATATACCTTGCGTACGAATAGGCAGTAGGAGTTAGAGTCAGTTACTTTGTCTTTCAAGTTTTCCCGTTCGATCGGTTGCATAATTACACAACAATCTGTTACGATTCAGATTCGCGAAAACTGCACCTCACAGAAATGCAATCGGATTATATGTTATTTCAAATTACCAAGCGGCTTTACAAAAGCGTTTTCATTTGCGCAATAAAAATTTACCGTTTGTTCGTTCGACTGTCATTATAGCGCTTCGAGGCGACACTGTTGAGAATTTAATTTAATTAAATGTTAGGAATTTTTCTATCGTCCAACGAGAGCCGCCACGAATCTTACGACAGTGGCGTGCGATTTTATTTCGAAGGATAATCCGGATGAACAGAGAGGCTGTCGTTTGTTTGGAATATATTTTCGTGAAAATCTTATTAATTGCTTGCGTCGAGGCGCACGCGGAAAAAAAGAACAAGAATAATCGATTGATACGCGCGTATTACGGCAGTTTAATTGATCAATAATCACCGTGACTCGGTTTCTAGCGCGAACTACATGAGTAATCACCGCTCTGTTAAGTCGATTATCCCTTGGCCGTTCAGTTTGTTGATTCATTTGTATATAGTCCTTAGCGGTAGTATGATTTCATGCCAATCGGGGCAATAATTAACGCAGTCACGTGGTGTCGATATATGATTGAGGATTATCGTTTTGCTCAGTGTATATCCCGATAGATAATAGACAAAAACCAGTTGGCGAGCGCTTTTTTGTCGCCGAAGAAGAAAGACATCTTCGATCGATTTTCGCGAGACTCTCTCGTCTCATTGTGAGAGTATTCCGCGTGACTGCGTGAATGGGTTATATAATTTACGAACGAATCGGGGCGTGCCACGATCGCACGAGCGAGAATAATCTTATGCGGCGACACGCGATATTTTGTATGCTTGCAACTTGTACTTTCGAGCTGTGTACGTTTTTATGCTCTTAGAACTAACCGCGAGTCCGCGAATATGTCGTATAGCGATAATTTGATAAATCCTGCTCTTTGAAGATCGTTTATTATAGAGATATGTGAAGCGAAGGGTTTCGAAAAATTCGTGGTTCGCCTGAGAGGACACTGTGTAATAATGTAATATTTACGAATAGTTTCGATTCTCTCCCGACTGAAGAGGCAGTGCGTAGAAATGGCGAACGCGCGGTTTCGAGGCTCCATTTATATTTTGATCTCGAGATACAATTTTCTTCTCTATAGCGAAAGTTGCGGCGTGTGACGGGATTTAAGAATAATTTGCGAGCTGTACGAATGATATAAATGAGAAATTTATTGAGTCTAAAGATATGTCTATACTTTCTATTCCTTCTGCTTTTCACATGGTGCTTTCGCTACAGATTCGCAAATTCGCAATTTTGTTTCTTCACACACACACACATACACAGGGATATTTTATAATATAATTTAGTTTGTCGAATTAATAAGAAATCGTAAATTTGTTGGTTTCTCGTTACACTTTCTGTACCGACATTCTGAGTCGACATGTATGAAACTACGATGCTGTTATTCGGGAATTTTGACATATAATTTACAAATCATTTCTTATCGATAAACAACCCGCCAATTTATGTTCATATCTACTTATTATTATCGACATTATGAAATCGATTTATATATTTGAACTATTCGATGACATAATTCAAATTCACCGCGAATAAAGAAGCGACCTACCTGTACGACGACTGACGTACTATCGTAACGCCATCTGAAGACGTGTCGATTAACAAGCGATTGCAATAGCCGTCGAAACTAGTCGAAACCCGCGTTGATCAGAGGGTGGTAAACTTTGTCCTTTTTTTTAGACGATTATAAGAGACATTTCGACAATTAGGGAACAGAACTCAGTTATGTATACATTTTTACAAACATCTACATTTATATATCTGCTCGTATCTTTGTGCAGGTAATTTCAGCTTTCTAACGATCGCGTTTTAAACCTGTATGTTTGCTCGCTCCCAATTATCGTCATTATTCTTTATCGTGTATAAAGCGCTGGCACGATATGACGCTAATTAATTTAATAACGCTTATTAAAATTCCTCGCGAATTCAGGCGGGCGGGCGCACGTTATATCGCCATCGTTCTCAACGATTGTTGACCTTGAGCTTGACCTTGGGCGTGCCTGCCCTCCTGTTCCCCCTTGCATGACCGGCGCCGAAGGATAATGTGTACGAAGATGATCATGCTGAACGAGCCCTGACCTAACCTATTCTAGGCTATGTCTCTGTCCTCCCATACAGACAAAGCCTAGGAGAGGCTAAACCAAGTTACTCGGTTCTCTTTTTTCCGTCGATTCTCGTCTTCATCTGATCCTCTCTTTTATCCTTTTGTCTTTTTCCACCCCGCGCTCTCTTTGCCAAGATAATCCTTCTCATCTAAAGTGGTCCTCGCTGAAATAACGTGTGGAATGTCTCAAAAGTCTCAATAGTGATTTCAATTCACTCAGAGAACCAGTTGCGAAATATTTCCACAAAACCGTATTTCTTATTTTACTTTATTATTCTTTTCATCTTAATTTTGCGTGACTGTATATGATCGCCTAATGTTGTGCGCAGGCTCTCGAGGAGTCGTCGAAAGAAGATTCAGTAATGAACCTGAAATGTCGAGGAACAGGCAGATTGGATGATGAGATTAAACTGTACGCTCCAGCAAAGTTTTTTATAATCGGCGAAAAGGCATCGTCTAATGAATCAGACACTCCTTTCCCAAGTTCCAACCATGGTTCCGCTACTTGATGTTCAGGCTCTGATTGGCACGTATGAAATTTATAGATTGAGGATCTTCTCGTTACGACTGTCGAACGTTGGTCGGTGTTTCAGCGCAATGGTAAGTAACACCAATGCACAGACAGGTGATAGAGTCGACAAGAAGCTCGTGTTGGTCGAGAGCGTTATCGAGTGAGGTGTTAAGGAATACGACGGACGCACACGTGAGAGAGGAAGAGGGAAAGATGAAAGAAGCGTCATTTTAACAGTACCGCGTGTGCTTTTTGCGATAAGTTATTTTAGTGACGGTGATTCGACCGGCACAAAGAAAGCGTGTCACGCCTAAAAATACGCGGGGCACGCAGGTAGACATGGAAAGGTCGTAGGGACTTGGGACGGAATATGGAGAGAAAAAAGAAGAGACAGCCAAGAGAAGGAATTGCACAAGAGGCGGTGATTTGGTATTCAAATCACTGGACGCGCACCCGCCTCTCTCTCTCTCTCTCTCTCTCTCTCTCTCTCTCTCTCACTTTTTTTCGTGAAGGATCTTTTGATTGTCACAAATGCAATCAAGTACAGAGATACGAACGATGCCAAAGTTCAAAAGGTCTATCACTGAGAATTAATTTGGCCAATTTCCGAGAGCCTCAATGTAAATATTGTTTAAATCGGAGAATTTCTTCCAAGATATCCAAGAGTAAGCGAAGAAAGCAAACGCCATATTCGTGACATTCATATCTGATTGCCGAACAGAACCACACTGTTGAAATGTTTCTCCACGTCCATCGAAGGACGCTGATTGATCCTGTCTTCCGGTTAAATCTGTTACCGCTAGTTAGCCATTTGTAATGGTGCATGTCTTCTCCTGTGCTCCTTGTGTGTTTGTTATGTTGATAGTACCGTAAAGCGAAATTTTACATTTCAACGCTTTCGACCAGTCACGGTCCTTGTTATGCTCAGGTTTTTAGATCCTTCAGATCCTTTTGCACTTTCTAAAGCTGCCGCTGTTATGTAAACGCATGATATATCCTCCGATATGTCAAGACCAAGACCTGTTCTTCACGATGACGATGACGACGACGACGACGACGAATGAAAACAGCCAACATCTTTTTTGAAAACTCGACGGCAAGCGGGAGGACACACTGCACATATGGAAACTTGCGTGTGTAATTAATC